GATATCTGATTTTTATCGCCAGAGGAGCAGTAATAGCACAAGTGAAACCGTTTACTAAGTACATTTGTTATACACATGCATATTGTTATCATTGCCACGTAAAAGCAATTATTAACTCCATAGCCTGGGCCATTGTTAGTTGAACGAGAGAGCTAGAGACTGTTTCTTGAAGTTGGGTTGCACCTACCGACTCGCCGTACCACCACCTCTAACTACCCGCCAGAACCCGATCCTTGCCCGTGATACCACATTACGCTCTATCTGACCGAGTAATTTCGTCTGATACACAATGCTATCTCGATTACATCCCCCCCCCCCTTCGCGCATTCTATCCCCCTATCCTCCCTGTGCATGCACCTGTTTTACTTGACCGATGCCTCGAGAGACGTATTTAAGAGTCACGAGACGATCCTGATAACCTTTAATTCGAATCATGAGTATTAAATTATGATACGACAGTAATACGTTCGTCGGAACTTTAGAGGACAGGTTCTAACAACTAAGGCGATCAGGACTAATAGATCTATACACCCTATAAATGGGATCTAATGCAGTTACTCCGATAGCGCTTGGAGGATGGCGAATATGCTAGAGCACTATGGGAGTATTAGAAGACGAAGGGAAAACATAACAAATGTTCTCAAGAAGCATGGGCGTTTGAGGTAGATATTTCGAAACAAGTAAAAAATAACTGGTAGCTTACTGATTGGTATTGTTAGTAATACCAAGGTAGATCGTCAAGTGACATTATGAAATTTCGATGCCTCCGAATATTGGATGATCATCGTCAGGAAAAACGAAACGATTATTTTACTTTGTGGGACATCGGATTAAAGGTTAATCGCAGATTTTAAGATTCATCTATTGATACGAACATGCTCCCGTTCAATTGTTTCTCTTCTTTTTTTTTCTTTTGTACCGATACATTATCATTCGTGCAACCCTGCATCAAGGAAGACACGAGAGAAAGAGATTATCGCACTAACTGCCGATTACTCGGTAACAATGGCGACGCCCATACATACGAAGTCTGTAATCGAAATGCTTTATATTTTTACACCGAACAAAGCAGTATATAACGTACAATAAACAATAAACAACATGTCCTTCCATACGCAACCTCAAGATGACAAATGTTAAATTTTTATTTTTACAACAGCCCACTGTCACTTCCGATATCTGAGCTATATTCGAACGTATCCGTATAGTTGAGACTATTTAAGTAGGGTATTTAAAGAAGGAGTCGGCCAGGGATTCATTTCAATCGACTCACCAGATTTACCGATTTCTACACCGATGATCGTTTCTTGTAACGTACGCAATTGTAAACGATACGACAGTATTGCGCTAGCGATATATCGTAACTGTAATATGTAACACGTCGACTTTTCGCGCCCATTCGTGTCTTCTCAAACATTTCGGTCACGTGCAGCGGATGAAAAAAAAACACAATCATCTGTAAGAATAATATTGTGGATCTTCAAATTACATCGCAAAAGTTTCTATAACTTTCCTCTGTCTCGTGAACAGTAGTATTATTACAAAAAAAATCTGAATGTGCAAATACATTTTTTCATCGACTGCACTCTACTGCTGTCATTCGTTTTATATGTCATCAGATGAAAAAAAAAGTGAACGAAAACCAGGAAAACAAATCGTTTCGGCACGATTCGACTTTAAACGAAACAACTAAGATGGCGGACGAATGATTCAAAAGCGAGTAAAGCGACTCAAGATAGTCTGTCCTGGCGCTAACGTCACTCTGCTCCATCTGTCGTATTAATCATTTACTTCGCGTAATTTTCAATTAAAAAGAATCAAAAAGCGAAAACACCGATCGGTACCAAAAGACGAGTCTCAAATACTGATCCGTTTACTTCGTAAGACAAGATTGTACATATGTATTTAAGATAGCTATATTATAAACACACATCGCACACGCGCAACACAAGTATACTATACTTATAGATGTAATACAAGAAGGTTTTCAATGTGCTGTTAATTCTAACCAATTCGATTGTAACATATTTTTGTCTTTACTTACTCGTTGGTATCCGTTGGCAGACAAAGAATGGCGTGACCGATATCCGCAAGAGTGTTTCCTCGATATTTCCGCCCTTTCGAGACTTCAGATTCGCGAAAAGCACTGTCATAACTTATAAACGCACTTTGCATACACACGTTTCATCGATACGGTTCACTTTGTCAACGCGACGCGACTGATTTAACACCGGAGACTTAAAACAGATACTGTTTAACGTATACAGAGTTTATAAACATCAATGAAACTGACCATAAGTTACTTCTTTATATTTGTTTTCTAGAAACGTAGTTTAAAATATGATATTTTGAAATCGTAATACATACTGTGTACTGTCGCGTCCGAACCCGCGCGTTGTTCACTGCGCGTTCAAAAAGGCATTATTTTCGATCGCTTTTATACATTGCCAACCAGAGATGGGAAAATTCAGTAGGTGCATAGATAAACAATTTCAAGTAACGGATAAAAGACGAAAAACTATCGGTCGTTCACGTTAAAGACACACCAAACAACAATAGCGATTCCAATTGGCCCCTAGTGGGTTTCTCATTGGTCATATTGCGTTGAATCTTTCTTTCAATTAGTAGCATAAAACTTGTAAAAGATCGGTTGTGGATGACAAATAAACAGATTCTTCTTTTTTGTCCTTGAATAGTTAGGTGGTTTTGTTGTGATGGTATTTATCGTTAACGTCAACACACAATAATTGCTTTTTGAATAAGTAAACACGTATCTAAGCAAATGTTCAATCAGATTAATTAGTTACACGTAACGAAAATCTTAGATACTATTCCTGTTCACTGTGCATTATTCGAATGAAGTTATGCCCCACTCTGATGTCAGCTGTATATCGAAATTTCAATCGCCAACAGCACTTGTGACAACCTTCAATGTAATACCGTCGATGGCCAATTAGAAAAGCGGTAATCACAGTTTGAAATCTAGATTTGAAAATGGCAAAACGCTCCGTTAATTGGCGATCGATGTTGGTCATGGTATTCCGTGATCAATTGCGGGAATTATGGACACGAATTTTAACGAAAATCCCGTTTCTAGTATTGGATAAGATTCGAAAATACATTTCCCGGAATGGATTCAAATGATGTTCAATGAATGCCGACTTTCTTGAACCACGAACGTACGTAATACCTCAGAGCCATTACGATAACAATACGTAAAATAACGAAAGATATTGTGATTCGCGGTGTATCGTAGATTATTACCGAGACGCTGGTAATTTCATACGACAAATAATGAGATATATACGAGCGCGAGTATTTATGTACGTCGACGAAAATATACGAACCACGGCAGCTACAACCTTTCCGTTTTCCCCTCTGTACTTCAACCGTTAACAAATTTTCGATATATATCGATAGACTATATATCTCATTTTTCCTGGGCGATTTCATTAAGTCAAGTGTCGCTGCTATCGATCTTCGAGTTTTAACTTCTTCGTAGAATAAAGACTTTTGTATTATGATTTTAAGAAAACATTTCTAAAATTAATTAAGGAAATCATCGACGAGCATTAAGAGATCAAATGATAGTTTATGTTTTTAAGACACCTCGAGTATGTCGTAAGGAGAACCGTACTGACCTGTACGTGAAAGTATACGTATCCGGCAAGGGAACTTTAATCTTTCGATATATTGCGCGCGGTATACGGAGGAATCTTCTTCGAGGCGCAGTTGTTTCTCATCGTTTTGGACTTAACGTATTTTACAATCCGGGTAAAAGGACGAGGAAATCGCGCAGTAATCAAAATTTTACGGGTTCAAATTAATATTTTTCGTGGCTTTAAAAGGTAAAGTATCGGAGAATAGTAAAAATCCGTCGGAAATTGGTCGAGGAAGGTTCCCCTGTGAAATTGAACGCGTATGGAATAAACGTTTTTAATACTTCACGTTTTATCGCAATTTTCATCGAAGTCATTCAATGCGAAGACAGTCTTTTTCGTCTCGAAGTTGACATTACTTATTTTACGCGCATCGAATGTTAGGACTGTGTTCGTATTACAAAATAGTTGTTAGCGGATGAACGTTTCTCGGTCCGTAGAAACAGAAAAATAATCATAAAGATCGAATTTTTCGCGAAGAAAGAGAGTACACATGTACACGCTTACTGGGAAACATGTATATGTATTTCAAGACGTCTTTATGCAAAATTGATGAATGTTTTACGTGTACTAAAATGTTCCCTTTTAATCCTATTAAGACTTACAAAATATAAGTATTATACTTTACTTGTATATATACATATGTGATAAAAAAAAATATATATATACACCTGGTTTTTCATGTCATACTTATATTGTATCCTTACTATTTCTTAATGTGTGAAGGTAGTAAAATTAACGAGTGTGTATATTGTTTATTAAACAAAAAAATCGCGTTACGTTTATTTATGAAAATTATGAATTAAATTACTAACATTTTCTCAGAAAATTCCAGTCTTACATTATTCTATCTGCCAACACAGCAATACACTACTATATGCGTCCACGTAGTATATGTATATGTACATATTACAGTGTATTGCTTGACAAATCCTCCTTAACAGGATTTATTGTACAACACATGTAACATGTATGTATATGGTACACATCATTTTTAAACTCCTTTCCGTTATCAATAATTACAAAGCATATTTATAAACAATACTTTTTTAAATTATATATTCTTGTGTACAAATTTTACTCCCATTTACAAATCGTAGGCAAAGATAGATATATTAAATAGGAAAATACATGTTAAGCCAAAAATTGATAAAATTTATACTGTATATATATATATAACTTCTGTATATTATTACCTAAAATTATATTGTTAAATGATTGAGATCATAAAATATAATTCAATTTTTATGTTTCCTGAAACTGCGTTTCTGTGGATAAATTATAATTTCATTGGACGACAACACAATCATATCGCGTTGCAAACGAAATTAAAAGTAGCGTTTACGTGTCGTTCGATGGTATCACATTTAATTCAGAAGCAGTACTGATACTCGGTAAGGTGCTATCGCTCCAATCGGGATGGGGATAACTCCTCGGTGGACTTGGTACATTAACCGGTATCCTACTTTGAACTCTGATATCATGGAACATATTCTGAAACTGTTCCGTTATAGTAGAACCTAACAGATTATGTGCTACATTGTTTTTTAAGGTATTAGACCCATCGATTACGCTTGATTTCTTCTCTAAACTTTGCTTCCTATGCAATTCTAACAACTTTTGAGCTTTGGGCGAATCTTTTATGTTTGATTTTGTCTTGTCAAGTTTCTCGGGAGGCGAATTTAAGCTCGTAGAATTACGCAAATTATCGCTCCTTTTATGAACCGGTAATGTTGTCGCATCCTCTTTTTCCTTGGTAACTGAAAACAAAATATTATAAATATACATACAATTATTATGATATATTTATAATACGTATTCATTTCCTGTAGATACCTAATTGACTATTTTCTGTACAGCCAAGATCTTTGTAAGAAGGTAACAGTGTGAGCGAAGATTCGCCACATGGTAAACTAACGAACTCTAAATTAGCAGAATCTTTAGTTCGACATTCTTTAATGTTTTTCGTTCGTTTTTTCTCCAAATTCCTAAGATGACTGTCCGAAGCAGCCGTTATTATTTTCGATTTTCCCAAAAATTTGTGGTTATCGATACTGTTCAATGGATTGTGCCCCATAGTGGACAGGGAAACATCTGATATGTCGTGCCAGGAAGTAGGTATATTAGATTCTCTGGAAGATGTAGAAGTTGGCGAGGAACATGCAAGACCTCCGTGAACCAGTGACATTTGAGGATTGGTACTTTCTTCGTGAACGTATATATTTAAATTGCTTAATTGATCTGCAATTTGGTTTTGCAACTCCCTAGAATGTACAAAAGGTATTTGTTATTCGAAACAACTAAAACAAATTTTAGTTCATTTATGTGTAGTCTTAACTAACTTGATCGCATTCCGAAGTTCAATTAACAATGAATCCTTATACGAACATAGAACAGATAATTTATCTTTTTCAAGGGTCAAGTATTGCACCTCTAAGTGTCGTTGCCTTGCAAGTTCCGTTTGTTCAGCAAGATTTGTTCTCAAATCTACTATAACTTTTTGAGAAAATTCTTGGCCTTTCATTCCTTCCTTTAATTCAGTTATTGTCTTGTCTTTGGCTAGAGCCGTTTTTATCGCCTCCTCCAACTCTTGCCTCAAGGTTTTTACAGTCGTTTCTAAATCTAACTGCCTTTCTCGAGCTTCGTTCAACAGTACGACTTGTTTATGAACTTGCCTGTTTGAAATAAGAAGTATTTTACATACAGTATACAGTAAAAGGTATTTGTAACCTTTTTTTTTGGGAGGGGGTGAGGAAAGATAATATACCGTTGTAAAGAATCACGCTCTTCTCGCAACGTTTCGTACATAGCATTCATTTTTCTACTTGTTTCTTCCAACTCAAGTGTACTTCTTTCCAATTTTGATCGGAGTGCCACAGCTTCTGGATCCTAAAATAAGTATTCTTTAGAAATGTCATGCATTAATTTTTTTAATACTAATGTCACATAACTGTACCATAATAAGTGATTTCCCAGATTCTGCTGATATTCTAAGCAACACTTGCTCCATATCGGTAAGAATTTTACTGGCTTTGTCGTCGTTAACCAAGTCTTCTAATTCCTTCATTAAAAAACCTAGTGTACGAATTGGATTGAATACACCAAATCTGTCATCAGTAGAATCAAATATTCCACCACACTGTACACCTCTATCTATGACTAAAATAGATTCAACACTGCTTGGCAATGATGTAGTTGATGGATGTGATGTACGTGGTGTAACTTTTATCTGCTCTTCTAATCGCTTCTGTGAAGCTGACTGTTTAACAGGAACCTCATCCAAATGTTTGTGCTATACATAATAAATGAATGAAATAATCTTGATTCTTTATAAAATACCCACATATGGATGTAAAACATGTACGCACTTCTTGTCTTTGATGGCTTAAAGATTGTTTTTTACAATCTTTAGCGTCAGATCCATGCTTTGCTGACTTTGTAACAGGTGTCCTGCTAACTAACTGTTGCAAACCTTGTTTTATAGTAGCTCTATTCTGTTCTCTTAAAATTCTAGTCCAACTTTGATGAGAATCACCACTGCTACTAGGTCTCCTTTTCTCTTCTACTCCCTTATGACTAGTGGGACTGCTGCTGACCATGGTTGATGTACGCTTACGCCCTTTTGTTTTCACAGTGACTTCTATCAGAGTATTACAATTATCATACAAAACTAGGCCTTCTGAATGCTCTCCAGACTTGGGCTGTGGATATAATAACACAGTTAACTTTTACACAATATTAAGTTTCTAAGCAATTATATTTTCAAACTTGAAAATTACCAAAATTTGTTTGTTCTCCACAATATTTTTGTCAGACCTAGTGGCGACAGTTTTACATGCAGCGTTGACTCTGCTGCTCATTATGCTGAAATATTAAAATATATTTTTACTTTTCACTATACGTTTCTACATAGAATCGACCTATTCCCGGTCAGTACGGTTATAATCGTTGTGATGCATCTAACCTGATGCTTCGTTGAATTCGCGTTCATCATATACATCAAGAGACTCACCGCAATGTGGTATGGTGTCGGCCAGCATATTTACCCTGGCGTTTATAATACATACGATGTCTTGCATGTTTAAGTAACTTAGATTAATCATTTTATCGGAGTATTGCGTGTAAAACATAAATTCGAAAATCAGATAAACATGTATGTCATGCTGTAAGATAGATATATATATATATACATATATAATACACTCTATTAAATTTTACAATTGTATACGTTTACGGTATTATTCAGTAAGTACTTCACGCGTTTCCAATGTAAAAGTAAACGGTAGATTTAGAACTGTAACTGTTTAACTTCTACAAGTTTAAATTCGTCTGAACTATTTTATGATAAATGAAATTAAACAGTAAACAATTCATTTCCATCATTGAAGGTTTTGAAAACATAAAAGCAACAGAATTTCATTATAATTTATTCACAAAGATTCTCATTTTATGGTGTTTTATACATTCATACATGTGATAATTGGATAACATTCACAATTTACTTGTCTCACATCAAAGCAATTATAATACATCATATAAACGCAACTTCCTGTTTCCATACTATACAATAAGTTTCACAAGCACAAGTTATCTTGGCAAATAATTTTTCTTATATTTTTTAATTTCAATTACACGAAACAGTACACTTAAAAAGAAATCGAGAAAAATGATTTTTTCATTTAGTACGATTTTAATTTGTGTAATAATATTATGTTCATAAATTACTGTACATTACTTTATAAAGTATAAAAAATCATATTGTTTTTATTATCCGTCCGTTTTGATAACTTTATAAAATATATATATGTATACAAAATATGATGCCTAAATTAATTAACATATTATACATTTGTACACAGAATTCTGCTTGATATTAAAATCGTTTAGTGAATATTGCTATTCAAATATTTAATTACATGTATTATCATATATATTAAGCTTTGTTAGTATCTTATTAAGTTCACTTCTATGTCTGCTTAAAATTTCATAAAATTTATCAAAGAAAAGTTTTGCAGATTCTACTATGTATGCTTTCCTTCTGCGTACTGCATTTAATTTATCTCTTGTTTCTTCCATCTCTACCACAACTTTTTTCCTATCTGGAATTGAATCTTGAATCTCCTTAATATCATTTTGCAGTGCTTTTATTTGTTCCTTGAATTTTGTTTCTTCATTCTTAGAATCTGTTTTAATTTTATTTATTAGATTTTTATTTTCTTTGATAGCATCAGCAACATCATTACTCTCATCTTCTAACACCTTCATCTTCTCCTGAAGATCTTCTAATTCATTAGAATTTAACTCCATTAAACGTTCTTTCTCTGTTACTTGTTTCTTTATTAATTCTTTCAGATCATTCATTAAACCAGCTTTCATGTTTAACACATCCATAATTTGAGGATGTAATATACCGGTTTCCGGCACTTTCAATTCTTCCAAATCAACGCCCATATTATTGCTAAGTTGCATAAATATTTCCTTGTTGTATGTTAAAATTGCCTTTGTTAAATTGTTATTAACCAATGCTAACTTGATGTCCATTGTATACACTTCTTTTTGTATTTCTTGTAAGTGCTCGTCATATTGTTGCATATAATCTTGAATTTTTGTGCACTTTTCCACGACTTTGTCTTTCTCTACTTTGGACATTGGCTGTTGCTTAATTGCTGAAACTAATTCATCATGATGTACACTCTGTACATGGATTTGTTCACACAGTACATTGCATTCTTTTTTTCTTTGATTTATATCAAAGGTAACCGTTTTGATGTACTCCTCTTTTGCAATGAAATCGTTTAATTGCTTGTTTTCATCATTTTGCAAGGATGCAAATATTTCCTGCAAGTGTTTAACTACGTCATCAATATTATTTGATTTTTCTTCATCTGCTTGAAACTTTTCTATTTCCTTCTCCCACTCAAACTGTGCATTGTTCAAGTCCTCTTCATTGACTCCATGCTGATCCCCAATTTCCTGTAAGTACTTCTCAACCATTGCTGCCTCCTCCTCAAGTTTCACATCATTCCAAGCATTATAAAAATCAAGCATTGAAAAGAAAGTTTTCTTATGAATATTAGCTTCTTTTTCATTGCCCATAAAAGGCAAACTATCTAAACTGTACTTCTCAGAAGCTATGATCCTTACTTCACAAATTCCCACCAACCAGCAAATCCAGCCCAAAACATTGGGCCAGGAATGCATAGCATTGGCTGTTTTCAACCAAGACTTAGTAATAATGCCAGGATAATGAAGTTTCTTGGCAATTTTTGGCAGTTCTTCCACATAATTGTTAATTGACAATACTTGTTTAATGTCCAGCATTTTAACTAAATAAGCAGAAACTTCTACAAACATTTTCAAAGTAATGGGTTTTAAGCTACCATTGCTATTAACCAAAGAAGTAAGTTGATTTATATTAAAGAATTTATCTATTTTATTAAGCATATAAGTCTGATATGTTTTGTCTGTTAAAGGTCTTGTATCTTTCCTGGAACCTTTGGTTCCCAAGCTGCTAACACGATCACCTGATAATGGTCTGGGTCCCGTTGGAAGAACTGAATGAATTCTGTTATTCCCAACTGAAAGGAAAACAGAATTTTTGCCAACATTTGTAACTGGTGTCCTTGGAGTTGCTGTTCCATGACGAAGTGGTGTTTTACCTACGAAACCAACACTAGAAAATTTTAGGTCTACTATTTGTGTTATGCTGCAAATACGTATTCGTTTTTTATGAAACTGAACGAAAGAGAGGATTATTACTTACCAGTCGTTTTTAAAATCGATCCTTTAATACTCGCTCTGTCGCATGATGAACTTCGAACTCGCGGTCTGGGAATATGAGAACTTTCAGCTGAGGTAATAGAAATTTTCGGCTTTAATGTTTGTGTCCTCCGTGAATCACATCGCGTCAAGTTTTTCTCTTCCCTTTCAAAGTTAGATATTCTCACTGGATTCGTGGATGATCTGCGATCCACAGAACTGCTCCGCATTTTTAACCAAATAAAATCTGCACTTCGGTTTAAGAAGTATTCGAATATTTATTTATTCTATTAAAATGTTTAAAACATCACATAGCCGAACATTTTGAATTTCGTCGTTATGCACAGATGTATCAAGTACAAGATGAGTGACATCACATCACAGACGAGAACTCTGAAGGCTCTGAAGTGGCTGAACGGAAGTTTGTGTCGCCACATTATACTTATTAATGTCGAATTTCAGATGATTTTAGATACATTCGGTAAAAAATGCCCAACACACAAGTTGTTTCTGCGTTGAGAGACAATAAAATACAATGCTATACTTCATCTATTTATTTAAATATTTAATATAAAATTTAAAATATATAAACATAAACATATGTATAAATTCCAAACAATATCCGTCATATAAGGTATACACGATAAATAAATATGTATGTCGGGACTTGATTGTAGTTTTGCGCGTTAATTTTGAATATTGAAGTTTGTCAATAATTTATTGATTATTTCAGATGTTCAGTTTTGATGTTTAATTTATCGATCCTAAGTTTTGTAAATAATTTTATTAATAAATTTATCGTTGAGTTCAGCCGTGTGTACTTTTATTTATAAATCGTTGAAATTCTAATTGTACATCATACATCTCACACACACGGGGTCTCTTCAGCATGCTTCGGGGGCTCCGTGACCCCACATTCTCAGCCCCCGTGATCAAAGGCGCCTCCACCGGGGCTCCATGACCCCACGCTCTCACCACGCAGGGTCTATGGCGCCTCCACCGGGGGCTCCGCGACCCCACGGTCTCTCCCCACGTGATCAATAGCGCCTCCACCGGGGTCTCCGTGCAGGGTCTATAGCGCCTCCACCGGGGGCTCCATGACCCCACGCTCTCACCGCGCAGGGTCTATGGCGCCTCCACCGGGGGCTCCGCGACCCCACGTTCTCGCTAGAGATGATGTGAACTGCTAATTGTGAATCACTCGTGATTCGATCACGTTCGTTCTCAATCACGGTAATTTTTCACAGTGATTCGTGATTTCTCGTGATCGTTTCTGATTGGTGGAGAAACCTAACAGTTCTTTACACGCGACACATAATCTGTATATTTTATATTTTATATTAACGACATCAAAACAAAAATTCGAGTTATATCGTATAAAGTGAAAGAATAATTAGAAACAATGAAGAATAATGAATAAATTAATGATTATAAATTATGATCTACATGTTACCTAGCAAATCATTCTTTTAGAATTTCTTGTTTTTTCTACTGATTTTTACAAACACAGTAATGTAATTCATCGTAAAATCATATTGAATACGTTCTTCTGTTTAAAGATTAATGACTTACGATTGTAGTGAGCAAATTCACTCAAGATAAAAAAATCGCAATCACGGTCGTGAATGAAGTTAAATCACGATCGTGATCGTGATTCGGCGATCACTGTGATAAATCACCGTTAGTGATTTTGCACGCCATCTCTAGTAAACATGGGTAAACATCAGCAGACGCAGTAAACAACGATACAATGTTTAGTATGTGAACTTAAATGACGCGAATAACGTAATTCATACACTTTCAAAGAGGATGTTATTTCAACGTACTCTTTTGTAGTGAAACCGGAAAAACATGGATAACATAGAATTGCTATTCTTTGACACATTTTCACACGATATTTCAGAAGTACGTATAAGGTTATTTTGTACATATCTATGCAATCATTAGACTGTGGTTTTATGTATGTATAAGACTATTTAAACGGTTAATAAAATTCAATGTATTTTTTATTCCATTTGAAACCTAATTTTTATAATAACCCTTAATAGAATAAACAAATTATGGTTTGATGTAAGTTTCTGTAACTTTGACATTAAAGATCTATATGTACATAAACATCTACAGTTTAGTAAATACACTTATTACAGTATGACAAATACTTTTCATTTCCTTCAGGAGCTTAATTTAGATTTGGTACAGTTTCCCAAACCTGTGTATATTAGTGAAGTTAGAATTATTCCTTTGGGTGCTCGAGTACAAGCAGATTTTCCTGGTGGTGTTCGTTTAGGGTAATTATTTTCATTCACAATAGGTAACTACTGGTGAAATTTATTTAACGTATTGTTTTCATCACAGGGCAACAAATCCATCTCAATTTGAAATAGAATTTTTTGTAAATGACTTGAGTAAACCTGGAGCTTCTACTTTTGAATCTCTGGGAGAATTAGAGTATAAACAAAATATTCATATTCAGTTAGAATGTGAAAGGAAACAGATACCTACAGATGGGTTGGTATTAAGAGGATGGTACACTACCATCACTTTAGCTGTATATGGAACATTGACAAAATCTTTGAATAATCCACAAGAAGTGATTAGCTCAGCCGCTGGCTCTGCTGCTTGTGCAAGTGGATTAGAGGAAGTTGTGGAAAGTACTGCTCAAATTTCAGAGCAGCAATCAGATTGGTATTATGAAAACCAGGCACAGACAAATTCAAGTGTAAGTACATAAAATATGAGAACTGTGATAAGATTTTGAGACTTTTCTAATAATTCTAAAATGTTTATGTGGAATGCATAGGAAACATGTGTAGCAGCAACTCCACCACCTCCTATACAGCCAATACAAACAGTAGAATCATCCAGAAATTCAACATCAGATACTGGAAAGACAGATGCGGGACATTGGGAAGAAGACGGTGCAAATGGTACTCTAAAATCTACAAAACGTCCTTCTTCGCCACCCTCTGAATCTCTAGTATCTTTAAGTCCTGAATCCATATCGGCAGAGGAAGAAGAAGGAGAGCAAGATGCAGGTGAACAAGAACCAGGAGAACCGTTTGAACCTATATTATCCGATGAGGACATAATGGCAGATGATATACCACCTTCTACAGAATACGAATGTGAAAATGTTCAGTTAGATGATATCTATTCTTTGATTACACCTGATCTACTGGAGTTAGAAAAGTCAATGAACAACATTGAAGAATACTCTGTTAACAATGAAATGTTGGATAAGATACACGAAATATTTCAGTCATTAGCAAAATCAGTGTTACATTTTAATAATGCATCAGGACAAGAAAAAGAGACGTTTGTCCACAATTGTGAATCATTATGTGCAATACTTAGTCCTTTTCATTTGAACAGCACAGACTTCAACGACTTGACAAACATTGTAAATGCAGGGTTGGATATGGATCTTGCTCGTGCTCAGCCTCAACCAGCATATAAAGTTCGTCATGTGAAAGTTGGTGTACGATTAGCAGAAGCATTATGTAAGCTTCCTGAAGGTCCTGAAATACTCTTGAAAGTAGATGCTCCTTATAAATTATTAGCATTGTGCATGCGCGAAAATGTGGCCCTTCCTGTTAAACTTTCTGCTCTTCGTACACTGGATGCTGCATTAATAAGTCCTGTAATTGTTCAAGAGTTTCTTAACTTAAAAAGTAATTTATATAAGAATGCTTTGATGATGTTGGACACAGCTAAACTAGCCAGATTGAAATACGCGCTAAGTTCATTGCTACGAAAAGTACACACATTTGAATTTCTTGAGGAAATGAAAGAACTCAATGAACTGGCTGTGATTGAATTGACAAATACATACATATGCGCGCCTACGTTAATGGCTCAACCAAAGCGTCAGCTTCCAGCTGGAGCTCAAATGGAATTTGAGCGTGAGCAAAATCGAAATCCTCGTTGCCATATGATAGCGTACTTTGAGTACCATAAACTCTTATTTCATATTCTTGTTGCACTTACTTCACCGAAATCGGATTTGAATTTAATTAAAGCCATTCGACGTTTCCTACTACGCATATCTGACACAAAAGAAGGTTTATTTTATTTACTAAAAGAACCAGAAGTTACGAAATTAATATTGAAGGCTTTGAAGTGTGAGCTGCCTGGCATAGGATCCATTTTAGCTTGGCGACTTCAAGTTGTCCAGTGTTTGATACGTTTAAAACATGAACCTTCTGATTGGTTGTCCTTGAAAAAGCTTCATTCATTTCTAATATTTCCTGAAGGTTTGCAAGCTATAATAACAGTTCTTCCAACAGGGGAGTTTATTGACATTTTAATTCCATATCTTTCTGATCCAGATTTGTGTGAATTTTCTGCGGAGATTATATCGGCAACCATTAGGTATTCTGACAGAGTAGAGGTATTCCAAAATCGTGCCGCAATTATTTTGGAAAAGTCGCGAACTCAGGCTGTTTTGAAGGATGTTACTTCATATCTAACTACGGCTGCACAATCGTCTCATTGGAATTATGGAGATGTCTCTTCGCTTGTTGCGTGTATTAAGAAAAATGCAGACAAGACAGCATCTCTTCCAGGACAATTAATTACAGCATGTAGAATTTTGTATTATCTTGTTTTTCCCTCTAATGACGACGTAGACCCATTAGAGCCTTATATTGAATTGAAGTATAGGAATGCATTGACACAATTATTTGCTGCCGATGGTTTAACAGCGCTTATCGCGGTTATGGCAAATATTTCAGAATTTTATGAACAGCCATTTCTGCATCGTGCAGCTTTAACGGGTCGAAGGGGCTTAGCGTTAGTTGCATTGCTTCTTCCATGTGTAAAATTGACTAGAGCACTATTGGAACGTCTTGTGAAATGTATGGCAACAGATTTTAAAGATTTGACAGCCGTGGTGCCTCTTCTCGGTGTCTACTCGTTAGTCGAAGCTATTCCTCCTGTTAGAATTGTTCAGAGTCTCTCTGAGGAAATAGTAGCAACACTTTTAGTATTTACACAAGCTGTAGATTCAGATGGATCGGGGAATGTAGCGAAATCATTATGGACGCAAATGTTAGGGGAAGTTTTAAAAATGGTTTCTCTTAGTCCATGTAATTTCATTCCTGGCTTGAAACTTTTAACAAGATTATTGCCACCTGTTTTGACTCTGAAGGAAACAATAACTGAAGATGCTGCTAGAGTGTTAGGACTTAGGAAATTGTGGTCTGCCCATTTACAGGCTCAAGCTAATAACTTAACTGAAACGTTACGACTACTTTGTGCTAGTTGGAATAAAGATGTGTTAGTTCTTCTTTCAAAAGTATGTATGCAATTAAGTGATTTAGCAGCACCTACTGCGTTACTAGTAGGAAGATGTATGTTGGATGGTATAATAGCTGCAACTCCCCTTGAAAACAATGTTTTAATTCTTGCATTACTCAGCGAACTTGCAAGACATGCACCTATGAAGGCTACACTGTTAACTTTAACTAGTCCTGCGTCACGAGCGCAAGTGAAATCCGACCAAAAATATCCACCTGTTATTGAAATGATGTGCACAGCACTTAAAAATACAAGTGACATTAGAATGCAATATGAAATCCTTGATATTTTCGAAACATTGTGTGACTGTACACTGAGTTTAATGCAAGAAGATGTGAGTGAACCTTTAGAAAAAAGATTAACGCATTCAGTGCCAAGTAAAGAACCGCTTTTATCGATTCTAGCAGCGCTCATTGACATATTAGCGACTAGTACGAAATTTGAATCCGAGGTACTAAAAAGTACTCTTCGTATACTTCTATCACTTAGTAGTCATAACTATGGCTTATATCATGTAAAAAGCTGTTTAGAGAATAATCCTGATGCATTACGATCGTTACTAGAGCACATATCTGCGTTAGAAGATCCTGAGGCTCAACCTGTTGTGGAATTCACTGTAATGTTCTTAGAAAATTTAACTGCATCTGAGTCACAAGAAAGGTCTTTGTATCTACGTGTACAACAACTGGCATCATTGATATCGTGGGATAAAAATGATCATCCCCTAGAAAAGATAAAGAGAGCACAAGAATTAGTAGAAACTTTTAAATCTGCTGAAGATAAAGAAGAGAAAGAACCTATTCCAGAAATGTTGGAGCCATTATTGCCAACTCCGGAAGCCCTACTAAATCAATTTTCTCAACGATGCCTAGGCACTCCCGATCCAGTCTCTAAACGACCAAAAAAATGTACATTTATGTCACCGATTCAAACACTGACTGAAAATACGATAGACCTCTTAGCTCTTGCGGGTGAATTACTTCCCGCTGATTTCAATTTAATGGTAGAGGCTCAAAACTTATGTTCTAAGGCACCACCTGACGATGCAACTCAACCGCTACAATCGAAATCTCAAAATGACGATCAGGAAACTAGAGATATTCAGAAAAAATCAACATCTCCAGTTTCAAAAGTGAAACAACCATTCGGTGAGTTATCTTATACATATTTATTACATAGAAACGAAATTTCAAGTAAAAGTTAGTAACATTATTGTATAAAAGTTCTGTACATACAAAGTCAGCAGAATACATTTTTTCTGTTCCCTTTACAGTTACACCTATGCGCGGTAGAACACAATTTACCAACAGTTTAAGAGGTGGTCCAGTTGTGGGAGGCGTAGGTAGAGGCGCAGATCCATTTAGATCGAGACCACCAAACACTTCGCGACCTCCGTCTCTTCATGTCGATGATTTTGTAGCATTAGAAACATGTGGAGCACAACCAACAGGACCTACGGGTTACAATAAACTTAGTATTCGTGGTACCTGTCCATCGCGAGCGATCAACGCAGGAACAAGGAGTAGTAGACCATGGGCTCAAGAAACTCGACCTCCGTATCTTCGTTAAATAAACTTAGAAAGAAGTAGTACTTGTTGTCAATCATGCTGATTTCGCAATTTACCAATTGCAATAAAATAGATGATTTTGTAATAATAAATTTAATATAATATTAAATGATACAATAATTTTTATATAAAAATCTTTTCATAGTAATAAAGCTATTTATAACACATCTTAAAAGAAAATACCTTAGTAGTTTACTCACAATATTATTAGTTTCTTATTGTTTCTTTGTCATTTTCACAACATTTTGTTGCATTTTTTCTTTCCATTCCTCATAGAAAATTTTGAAATAGTTGTAATCTCTTTGTAGCTGCCGTAGCTCTTTACGGTTGTATCTATTCTGGAATACCAACATATACAAAAATATAGTTTAATAAGCCATATGCAATGTAGATTGACATGCATAATAATTTATGTACCTTTATTTTTAGATACTGTAAAATCAGTGTTTCAAAGTTTTCTAATGTTTCAAATATAAACTTAGATGGTTTCACCTTATTTTCTAATATGTAATTCAGTAAAAATTCTATATATCTAAAATCTTTACTATAAGTTGCTGTGCGTATTAATGCTCCTAAAACTACATAATTTGGTACAAAACCAATATTATCCATTTGTTCTAATAGTTCAATTCCATTTCTTAGCTGTGTACATCCCATGGCTAGTATTCCAAAAGTCATAATATCTGGTGAAAGATGATGCCTCTGTACGTCAGCAAGAATCTCCTGTATTAAAATAGACATTAAGGAAATGTTAAAGAAATACATTACAGTTTGTTAAGTGCTATTCAATACCAACATACCTTTGCCTCTTTATACTGTTTTCTATAATTTCTTCTTTTCATAAGGATATTAAAGAAACATATATCTACTTCAATTTTTTCTTTAGCAATATACTTAAGCAACTGCCTTTCTGCTTCTAAAGAAGGTGGAAGTAATTCTACAAGCAATGTCATTGTTCTGATATCAGGTGTTACATTGTCACTTTCCATTCTTTTTAATAACAACTCTATTCCACCAAAGAAAATTAATCGATTCTTTTCTAATATCTTGTTCAAATTTTCAGATAATATTACATTGTTTTCAGCTACAACTGCTTTGGAATCATTATTTTCTACACTATGGTTGTTATATTTATCTTGTAGTTCATCCCTGATTAAGTTGAGAACTGAAATATTTAATACTGGTGGAGAATCTAATAAGTCTGAATTTCCTGTTTCATTAAGCAGAATTTGAGTACTCGATGAGTTAGGTATTAGGCAATCATTCAAATTTAACTCTCCAAACTCTGTATCTCTGATTGCTCTAAGAAGCAGATTATAATGAAATATGCTTGGTTTTAGTTTATGTTTCTTCATTTGATGCCACAAAATTAAAGCATATTTTAATCCATTCTTTTTATCACTGATTGCTGCATGAAATAGAACAGAATATATTCTGTTTGAGAAAAAATGTTTATCCCTTGCTTCATCTGCTAGTTCAAAAGCAGTCATAAGTTGTTTATGCCAACTATAAGCTTTTATAAGAGTTATAAAATGTGTCTCATTTAAAACAATGTTTTTCTCATAAAATTTTTCTCTCAAGGTCTGCAAATATTCCAATGCTTTAGTTGTATTTTCTGATGTAGCACAAGCATTAATTAAACTATTATATATTGCTGAATTAGGAATTAAACCACGTTTCAACAATTTGTTGTAGAGCTTGAAACATTGATCCACCATTCCTTGGTGAGCAAATCCATAAATTAACAAACTATACATATATACAGTGGGTTGGTCACGATTTTTCTTCACTAAATCTAATACACTTAATGCTAGATCCAAATCTCCTTTCGCTATATGAGATTTAATAAGCTTGCAATATTGACCGTGACTTAATTTTTGCCACCTTGGCACTCTTGCATCATTTTCTATGTACCTTTCTTCTTCTTCTTCTGCTTTATCCATTTCAACTCTTTCAAATCTTTCATATGCAAGATCTCCAAAGACATTGGCATCCTTTGGTACATTCTTTGAACAGAATTTTCTGTTCAAACTTGACCAGTACCAAAGGTTCTTTGTAAATTGTACATTAGGTCCATTATTTCTATTTGATCTTTCTTCATTTGTACATATAATGGTACATGTAGGACTCCATTTGGTATGTATATAATTGCTGTATTTATGCAAATTTAGTACGCATAAACATTGCTTTCTTTGTTTGATACAATGAATACAGTCCTCAATATAACCTGTGGATATGTTTGATCTTAGAAGAGAATTCGTCTTGGATAAGAACATACTAATTGCGTGAATTAAATTTTAACAAATTAATTCAAAGAAATGCGATGCTTCTTTATTAAGTATATCAAGTAGCGTTCATGCAGGACACTATTTATTTAGTTTTCCACGTGCTAAGAGCAATCGTTAATCCATCAGTATACATGTATGTACATATATATATGTATCCATGTGTCACATCGTCACATAGTAAGGACTGCATCTCTATTTAATAGTTCCAATTTTCATAACAGTCGTTACTTTCGAAACGCACAATTACTAGAATATAAATATTTTATTAAAAATAAAATTATGTGAAAACGGGAATACATACTTGTTTAGTTTACAAGAAACTACTTCAAGATTATTTTTATAAAAAAAAAGCGGGAATATACCGGCGGGTACATATTGTCTCAGCAAAAAGACAAAATAAAGATGACAAATTTAAAAAAGGTGAGAGTAGAACGAATTTGAATTAAAAGAAATCCAGTACTTCAGAAATTGTATATCGTTTGTATAACGATAAATATAAAAGAATAAAAGAGAAGCTGCTAATTTAATCACCGTTGCAACTTAACCACAGTACTGGACACACTAGCGCTGAAAACGCGAATAACGTCTGTCTGATCGTACGCTTTTCAGTGAGCCGCGTCAGTTCGATAAAGACCACAGTGGACCACAGTGATTTACGGAGAGGAAGGCAATAGACATCGAATGTAATTATCAAATGTGCCTTCGATTGAGCACAGTTATCACTGAAGCACAAGTTTATTACTGAAAAAAGATTTGCTCGATTAGCGAATTATCAGCGGACGAAGAGAAATGGAAAAGACAGACGAGAACGAACATAATGCGTTGCGAGAAGTTTTAAGTGACGAAGAATTGACGCAAATCCCGGAAGGATTCGTTAAGAAATTAAATGCGTTTTTCAACGAAAAATTCGAACAGTACATTACAGCTAAGGCGGTTTTTGAAACCAACAGGAAGAACTTTGGTGAGCTACGATTGAATTTTCCAGTTTTTGCTATATTAACGTTCATCCGGTTTATTTACATGCAGGGATTAACCTCTTTCTAGGAATATATGTTATGTACATACATACATACATATACATATATATACATATATATATAGAAACAAAAAGCTCTGATGTTTAAACAATTCGTCTAATTGAAGAATTATTCTGATACAATGTAATCTCACTTAGAAAAACATTATGTCATTTTTAGATTGATTATTAATTAAATTCGTTAGTTTTTACTCATTATTCAACTCTTTTATATATATATATATATATCCCGCAAAGATGAGCAAATTCATTATCCAGATAAAGAGTTTTGAATAATGAGTAAAAACTAACGAAATTAATTAATAATCAATCTAAAAATGACATAATGTTTTTCTAAGTGAGAATACATTGTATCAGAATAATTCTTCAATTAGACGAATTGTTTAAACATCAGAGCTTTTTGTTTCTTCTTATTTTACATATTATTCAAAGATTATGGTGTCCAAATTTAATGGTGCTTTTTTGGAGTAGTTTATGTTCAATTTTATGTTCAAGATACATTAATTATCATTGTCTCTATATATAAATATAATACCTCTTTTAGACCACACTTCAGAAAAATTACAAAAAGAGTTAACAGAAGAAAAGTCAAATTTTGAGGAATGCAAAGGAAAACTGACATTATCAGAGAAATATACTGATGAATTACAGTCTAGTTTGGATGAAGCCAAAGGTGAAATACAGAAATTACAAGACACTGTTAAAAGGTACTTTTAAAGGATGCATATGGTATAAATGATCGTAATATCTAATGCAATGTGTAATGTTGTAGATTGGAAAAAGAAAATGCAGACTTACGTAGACATAGAGATACAGTTGTGGATGAGAGAGATGCATTGCAATTGCAGGTTGAAAGACGAGATACAGAAATTGAACGAATGCATACAGAATTATCTTCCCTGGGAACACAGCTTCAAAATGCTATTGCTGCTAAATGTCAAGCTTTATCAGAAACAGAGGAAATTCGGAGTCGTGACATGACTCTTGACTTTAAGTAGGATTATAATTATTTAAATGTGAAGTACAATTTTCCTCATTCATTACAATAAATTAAATTTTTTAGAGAAAAACGATTAGAGCAAGAAAGAGCTTTGATTCAGCAACAAATGGCAGGACTTGAGGAGGAATTAGCAAAAAGAATGTCAGAATTGCAGGCAACAAGAGCAGAAGCATCTGCGCGAGCTCTTTTAACTGACACTCGCTTGTCACAACGCGACGAAGAATTACGTATCGCTAATGAAGCAGCATCACAGTTGCGAGAGTCTTATACATCTATCCAAAGACGCTGCGACGAGCTCGCTCAGAAACTAGAAGAACAGCGTACTCAAGAAATTTCTATGCATGCTTCTTATAGAGAAGAAATTGGTGCCCAAACCAGATTGGCTGATCTTTACAAAGGTATGGCCGATGAAGCAAATGCAAAGGCAGAAGAGTATAGCAGTGCAGTTAAAGAACTTCAAGAACTATTGGAACATGCAACTGAACAATATGGAGCACTAGAAACTACACACAATCAACTTCAGTTACAGCACAAAGAAGAGTTAGAAGAAAAGGAACAAAAGATAGATGAGCTCTCAAAAGAATTGATTCATGCCAATGAATTACTTAAAAATATTAAACAAGAGAGATTGGATCAAGCTGTTGAACAACTTGCACCAACAGCAGCCATAGCCAGTCGTGTGCTTAGGAAAGGTTTAAGCCTTACTCAAATCTATACACAGTTGGTTGAAGTGACAAATGAATTAACGTCAGAACGTAATGAAAAAGAAAGCTTGAAATCTCAGATGGACGTTATCTTACGAGAATTGGAAGAAAAAGCGCCCATTTTACAGCAACAACGTGAAGATTATGATACTGCAATGGCCAATATCACGACGCTTACATCGAGGTTGGACGAACTTTTGGCAGAGAATCATAAATTGCAAGAAACGACAGACGAAGCAAATCGTATTGCTAAACACCATACTAAGGAAAATCAAAGGCTGAAGACAGAGTTATCAGACTTGGCACGACAAGTGTGCTTCTTACTGAAAGAAGTTCAGGAGAGTAGAAGTGGTATAACTATGCACTCAAATGATTTTTCGAACGCAATGGAGATAGACAACCTTGCTTCATCAGAAATTATCAGTAAAAAGCTTGTCACATTCAAAGATATTGAAGAATTGCAAGAAAATAACCAGAAATTGTTATCGATAGTCCGTACATTATCATCAAGGCAGGAAGAAATTGAAAGAGCAACCGATGAAATAAATTCTGGTGAAATGAAAGAAAAATTGGACAGGTTTGTATGTTTACCATAAATAATTCACATCTTTATAAATTGTTTCATTAATTTTCTTTTCTTAAAATTGTTTCAGATATCTAGAACAGTTAGAAGACATGCAAACTGCCCAAGATAGGCAAGCAAAAATGTTGGAAGGCCTTCTAAGACAACGTGACATGTATAAAAATATGTACCAACAATGTTTGAAGCAAACAAGTATGTTGGATAAAAAGGAGCTTTCTGTAGCACAGGAAGATGAAGCAAAGGATGTAGATGGAGAGAAATCTGTCATCAACGAATCGTCAAGAGCCACTCAGAATAACGCCAATACAGAAAAAGAATTGAAAAAGCAATTAGCCGAATGTGAAGCTAAATTAAAACAATCTACAGACGAATTTGAAACGTACAGACAGGAAAGATCGGCTCATGAACGAATGTTAGGGGAAGAAGTTGAAAGGCTTAGAAAAGAAGCGGAAGCAAATTCAACTCGTTGCTGTAGATTGAAAGCACAGTTAGATTCTGCAAACGATAGGTTTAATCTTCTGCAGGCAAACGTTACTTCTTACAGATCTCAAATAAAGGTGCTTGAAGAGAAATGCTGTAATTACAACGTAACAATTGGTACTACTTATTTACTATTGTTAAAAAAGTGTTGAAGTAAAATAAATGTGTAGGGTGAAATAATTACTGAAATTACTCGTTTCACAGGTAAACATGAACAAAGCTTAATGATTTTAAGAGATGAAACCTTAGCGGCTCAAACGCGTTTGTCTCGTGCTGAAGTACAGTTAGAAAACATGCGACAAGAGCGACAGCTTCTGCGTGATTCAGAAAGTCGCCTTCTCAAGGAACGCGAAATATACCAGAGAGAACGTCAAACGCAATCTCTATTACGTGCAGATGTCGAGTCCATTAAAGCTAGTCTGGAGCGAGTTCAGGCCGAAGGTAATCTGCGTGCAGAACAACGTTTGGATGATGCCATAAGGGAGTGTGCAGCGTTGAGACGCCGATTACAGGAAGAACAGGACCGATTTAGAGAATTGTCAACACATTTGGAGAGGCAACTTGCCACAGCACAAGAAAGACTTGCAGAGGAACGCAATGTAACGGAACAAATTAGAGCTGAATTGGAGCAGGCTCGTCAGTCTGATTCTCAGAACACTCAGCGCATAGAAGAACTGAATACTAAACTTAGACAAGCCGTTACTCATTCAATATCAAAGCCCTTCACTGGTATGTATACAATATGGAGCTATATTTTTTGTAGAATTTGTTAGTTGATGATTATATATAAATTTCTGTGGCTACTTGAACTTACAGGTGACGAAAATCTCGTGAAGAGATTAAAAGAAGTTGAAATGCAGCTTGCGACCACACAGGCAGAATCGAAATCGTTGTCGGAACAATTAAAAGCCGCGCGACAACAAAGCGAACAATATTGTAATATAGCTGAGAGTGCAGAGACGCAATTAAGAGAACTAACCGCGCAGCATAACAAATGTAAAGAAGAATTAGAAACCGCTTTGAAAGAAGCGCGTGTAGAAGTAATGTCCTTGCAGAAAAGGGTGCAGGAGTTGGTAGAAGAATTAGCAAAAGTTTCCAGTGGTAAACAAGAAACGGATTCAGAGTTAAGAGCAAAATTAGATGATGCAGAAAGAAAGCTTGAAGAATTAGACGAAGTTAAAGGAGAATTAGAGCTCTTTAAGAGTGATTTGCAAAGCGCTTCAACAACTGCGAAAGAAGCTGAAGAAAAATATGCTAGAGAAATGGTTTTACATTCAGCAGATCTTCAGGTAGGTACAATTAGTTTTTTTTTTTAAATTCTATCGAAGATAAAACGTTTCACGTGGATATAAATTTCTCCTTTACTATTAGACATTAGCTAAGCTTAAAGAAGAAGCTCAAGTGGTAGAGCAGAAAATTACAACATTAACTCAAGAAAGAAATGGCGCTGTAGAAGCTTTGGAAATGGAGAGATCAGCTTGTCAAGAAAGAGAGAAAAAATTCCAAAATGAGATGCAGGAAATGCAACAAAGGATAGACGATCTAGATACACAAAATGCCATTTTACATACACAAATTCAAGAATTAAGTGATAAAACTGCGATTATGCACAGTCAGAAAACTAAGATCAGCGGTCGGGAAAGTCCGGACACTAGCTTCGAAACACTGAATCGTAGTTTCAGCAAACTGGAGGATGACTCTAAATCTCCGGAACAATTGCTGAAAGTTATGAAGTATCTGAGACGTGAGAAAGATTTGGCTGTAACGAAGTTTGATGTTCTCAGAGCAGAAAATCTTCGATTGAAATCACAAGTGGAGGTCAGTATTATATTGATTTGCTCGTGTATTTAATTCTGCAACGTGTTACTAATATAGAACATGTATCTATTCATATAGGTATTGGAAAAAAGATTAAAAGAAACAGTATCACTTCTCAGCTCCGTAAGGGAGAAATCCGAAATCGATGTAGTAACAACATCTAAACACGCAGAGCTGCTACGGAAAGTTGAAACCTTGAATGCGATCACAGATTCCAATAGAATTCTCAGGGAGGAAAGAGACAGTCTGGGTGGAAAGGTAGTAGAGCTTACCGCGAAAGTTGCGGCGCTTTCTGAAGAAGTGGGCCCGCTTCGGGACTCGACGCGAGACTTACAAGTGAAAACGGAAGCTTTAACACAAGAGAACACAAGTCTTAAAGCGGAAGCAACCAGATGGAGACAGAGGGCTAACACATTGGTAGAAAGAGCTAACAAAGCAAGTCCAGAAGACTGGCGTAGATTGCAGACCGAACGTGAAAATCTCAGCAAATTACTCGCGTCTGAACGCGAAACGCACACTAAACGAGCAGAAGAATTGAATCAACTGAGAACAGAGAAGTCCAAACTGGACGAGCAATTGATACAGATTCAGAAACAACTACAAGCCCAAGGAGAACAAATTCAGAAAGGCTCTGAGGAAGTGCGCAAACTGGGTCAAGACTTGAACGAAGCACTTGCCGATTCTAACACTAAGGCTAAAGATCTGACAACGTTGAGAAAGGAACTTGCAGATAAAGAAGCCGTTTTGAATGATATTAAGAATAAGGAGATACAGATTCGAAAAATAGCGAAGAAATATAAGACCCAGTTTGAGGAACTAGCAAAGTCAGTGGAAGAAGAGAAGAGCAGATCTGAAGAGTCTCGAATTGCGGCTGGTACATCCGGTAACGAAGAGACTTTGCAAGTGTCCCAAGAACGCGACGATCAACTGCGAGAGGAGGGTCGGACGGAATTACGCCAAGCGAACATCGAGCTGACAACAAAAATTGACGAATTATCTCGGCAAATGGCTGCCGTGCAAAATGAAGCTGAAGCATTTAAAAAGGAAATCGATACGATGAATAAGACTAGCGTGGAGAAAGAAGAGCGTGCGAAACAAGTACTGAAAGGTGCTAGAACGAAAATCATGCAGTTGACAGAATCAAAGAAGATATGTGAGAAAGAATTGCTTGACCTAAAGTCGAAACTTGAGACAGGTGCTACTGAATCAGATACCGCTGAACATGACGCTAGGCTGGTAGCACTTAAGTCTCAGATGGAAGGTAGAATCTCCCGTCTCGAACATGAAAGAGCAGAAATTCAGGCAGAGAAGGAAACTCTTTTACAAAGGGTTACTCAGTTGCAACGGCAATTGGCTGGCGTCAGTGGAGTTAGTGCTACTACCGAACCGCCTACAGCCAACATCAAGCCTATGTCCGCGCGAGCTGAAACTCCATTAGCAAGTATTCGCCCGATGAGCGTAGTTGTGCAGTCTAGAACAGCTGCAGTTTTACCCACAACTGCTAGTGCACCGGTAATGGTAGCGCCTCATCAGCAACAGCAGCCGCAGCAACAGGTAGTGCATACTACCGAAACTAGCTCCCCAACCAGTAGTCTGCCAGATTTTCAACCAGCTAGCACCAGTAGCTCGTCACAGACAGCACCCAGCACATTACGTCAACTCGTTGTGCAGCCGCAGTTAAGCGAATCAGCAGAATCAACGCAAAGAGAGGACCCAGAAAGTGCCGAAACCCTGAATGTACAGCAACAACAGTGTCAGCAGCAACAGCAACAGCAACAACAGCAAACTGTTGCGTTGGTCAGTCCAAGGGTCGAACAACAACAGCAGCAGCAACAACAACAGCAACCTGCAGCCAGCGATCAACAACAGACTGTAGCCAGTAGTTCAACCCAGTCGGTGAGCACGTCCCAAGCGTCTACAGGACACAAACGCCCCAGGACTCTGGATTCGACGGCATCAGGATCTGGAATCGAGGGTATAGATCATAGCAGGCAAGAACAGGCGCTTAGTCCCAAGGCCAAACGGACCAGGCAAGAAATCGCGTCCACTGCCAGTGCTAGTGCTTCAGAGGTCGAGTACCAGGTGAATTTATATTACATGGATGTGCAATCTAATACGCTATTATTTGTATTGCAATTATGTACGTGAATAATGTTAATTGAATTATTAGGTACCAACGTCGAGCCAACGGGATCAAGATGAAGAAGTAGAAGAAGGGTGTGTAGTTGTAGTAGACTGTGATGAAGGCGAGGGAGGAGGTAATCATCAAGCACAAGAAGAGGAAGAATTTGATAATGATCCGTATGAAGAGATGGAAGAGGAAGAAGAGATGCCATATGAGGTTGAGGTAGAAGTAGAAAGGGATAACAACGAAGTTGAAATTATCATGGGCGAAGATTCTACAAGTGTAGAAGTTCCTAGACAAGCACAAGTAACGGTACCTACAAATCAGCAACAACAACAGTCTGAAGCGATAAGTAGTGCGGGACCAACTGGAGAACCGCCCACGTCATTTACAACACGATCGTCGCGTGGAATTGCACCCATGCCTAGGCAACAGCAACAGCAACATCTGCTTTTGGTTCGTTCCTTTGAAACAAGTAGAAAGAACCAGTAATCGTCGTCTAGTTATAGAATATATATCTATGAAATCTCGTAATTTTTAGCCTCAACAAGGATACGAAGACGGGGGTGACGACAGTATAGTACCAAGTACACCGACTCTGTTCGTTCCACGTCGTGGAGACGGATTTGGAGAAGCTGTTAGTTCACCCCAAGTTCCACAAGGCCGTTTTACATTTGGAGATTCATCTGCACCGACGACGGCGTCGCCAACGCCATCCTTGTCTACTCCTTCGGGATCAGCAGCTCGAACAATATTCGGTTCATCGAGTTCCAGTGTGGCACAGGTGGTTCAAGAGAGTATGGACGATAGTAGAATGGATCTGCTTCAATTAGAAGACGGCGGTACTGGTCGTAGTGTACCCACTACACCTTTACAAGTTTCGCCAGCAGCTGATTTACCGCCTTCGGTACGAAAGCTGGTCAAACGACCAGTAAAAACTTACATGATATTGGAGCATATCAATATGTTACGTCAACGGCCTATATGTTATTTACAGACAAGCAGTGGACCATCCGAAGAGCAGGAAACACCGGTTTCAGTGACACCCGTGTCTGTAACAGGTACCACAGTTGGTGACACTAGTGAAGAACCTGCGATACCTAGTATTCGTGTAGTCGGTGTCGATGATCAACAACATAGTCAAACTGAAATAATCACAGAATCTATGACACCTACTGAAGGTAGCGATCACTAACAACTAATATTACGAGTTCATTTATAGGTTGAAACGAAAAACAATCAGAATCTGTGATACTCGGTATATTAATATCGTTCGTTAACACTATCAATTGAATAGAGTTAATAACATGATACATCAAATAATAGATAATTCACTCGTACGTGCAGGTATGAGTTCCGAGAGTGAAAAACATACAGAAGAAGCTGGTCCTGCAGTATCTGGGGAAGATGATACGGTAGACACTGGTGAAGGAACTGAAGAACCTGGAAGTGAGGTGGTGGAGGATGAAGTGGAGGAGGAGAACCGCGAGGCAGAAGCATCCCCCTCTAGTAATACACGTCAGAGAGCAATGGCAGCTGCAGCTGCAGCTGCTGGGGTTGGAACCGCTGCAAATGGCACCAGAAGTGCAACTGCAAGACGGTCTTCGCGATCGCCGTTTAGAGCTCAACGTGGTTCTCGACCTACACCTATTGTTTGGGAGAGCCAATCTGGTAGGGGTAAGTAATTATTCAATAGCAGTACTATTTATGTGTGCAAAAGATGGCGAGTAATATTAATATTTATCAAGGACAACCTGTAGTACGCGGAGGACATGCGGCAAGGGGGTCAAACAATGAAACCGGAAGAGGACGTGCAACCCGAGGACGTCGAATGCGCTCCAAATATCCGTCGTACGCGCGATTCTAAGAGTAGAAGTTGATTTTGTATACGATGCCATCTGAAAACTACGGATCACTGTCTTCGTGTACGCACGATGTAACAGACTGGTTGGCTGTTAATATATATCAACGTTCGAAATGAAAATATTTTTGTTTAATGTTAAACGGGTAATTATGTTGTACAGATAGATTTGTCGTTAGGACATTTGTTATTTCTATACGCCTAGGATGAGACTATAACATCGTTCTTGCAACGATGACTGTGTGCATCTTTCAAAAGAGGAAAATATTTGGGGTTAACAGCAACGATACACTATTTTCTGTTACATTATTCTTGGTAATCAAAAGAGACATTCCTTTCGTTGAGTATTTTCATTTCGTTCAAAGTTAAAAACACTGATCGAAAGTACATAGCATTTAAGTTGTCTTATTTATTTACTTGTAGAATGTCATTTTTATGTGGTTGTTGTTCGACTGTCATCGACCATTGGAGGGACTTTTATGTGACGCATTCGTACGTGAGACATTTTTCAAACATTAGTCGACTTTCACGCTTTTAGGCAGAGCCATATCATAAACATTTTTAATGAAAATATTTTGTCAGAATGTACAAGGAGTGTCTTAGTTTTTAAAGGTACGTTTTCTTTCTATACGTTTTACAGATTTAATTGAATCCTACGTAGCTTCCACGTGTCGGTGATAAATATTAATAAATACCTATGATTTACAAAACGCCTACTCGAATAGAGTTCGATATCGATTACGAAATTATCATAAATACGAGGTACCGAGGCCCGGTACAAATATAATACAATGTATATTTTATATTCTCTACATCAGTCTCTTGTCTGATTTAACATATTGCCAACGATATTTAATTAATACTTTTCGAATACTTAACATGTACCGCGTTATTCCGTGAAAGTATTTTAAATTACCGGCAAGAATATATAAATACTGAGACGCGTAAATGTATCTAATAACTCACACACGTTTCAATAATATGATAGTTCCGATGTTGTCATGTCATTAAAATAATATCACAACGGCAAATAAATAAGCTCTTTGCTAGAGATTTTACCGTAACTTCTAACATATATTAATACGTTCTGGTCCCCTTTTCATTTCGATGAACTACTCAGTTAATAGCAATAAATATGACTAGCTAAATGGATTATTTACATATGAAATATTATTAAATTTTATACAATTCCCCCGGTTAACGAATGGGACACTTCTGGATCGTACGCTCTGAACACACATGTCATATTAAAAATCTTCATCTTTTCCGAAACTTAGGCTTCGACTCTTCATTGGGAATAACAATATTCGCGTATGCTTTCCTCATAAAAACAGGTGTCCAGTAGTGCGCGCGGGTCCTCGACATTTGGCGTCGGGCGAACAGTCGTTATCCGCGTTGTTGGGCATCAAGCCAATAATACTCTTTCCGTGTTACACTCTAACGTCTAAACGCACGCGTTGAAAACTAAACTGGTACATCGGATCGCCATATAATCGTTAAAACCGGGGAAATGATGTCAGCGTTGTTCTAAATTCTTTTAAATGGTTCCCAGTCTCTTGTACCAGCATCGAATTGTCTCGATTCTCCTTTGACACAGTGCCATCAAATAAGAGTCACGTTAGGCTGTTGATAGTCCAGCAGATTCCGATCGTCGCTCGTGTTAACTTCACACGCACATTTCCCGTGTTGCTCTACCTTGATCCACTGTCTTCTGGTCCCGTTTGTTTCCAGGCTCCAGATCTCGATCTCCATCTCCTCGTAATAGATCGACGTGTCGACCGGCGAACAACTCTTGTCCGGACTCATGCAGCATCCCGAGTGTCCGTCGCAACGTTTCAATATTATGTAGACAGGCTGAATCGCGCTCTCCCCGGGATTCTGCTGTACGTTTTGCATCAGGTCCCTCAGATTGTACGCCCGTGTCTGTGGTTCTCTGCAGACGAACTTCCGGGACGCATCTATCGCGCGCGGCAAATGAATCTTCCGGGCCGTCCGACGATGATGATGGTGACCGTCGGGATTCGCCATCGATAGGACGATGTTGTCCAGTGTCAACGGGACGATTATTAATAGCTTCAACAGGGAGCTCTTCGATAACCGATTTCTCATGCCTCGTGTTTGGTGTATCGCGACCGGATCCGGATTAAACTCGGCGTATCTATGCGTTTGGTCGCTGTCCGTGGAGATCGCGCATGAATTTCTTCCAGCGTGATCGGTGTGATCTCGTATTATAAAACGGAAGGTTGTGTTCGAAAAGACAACTGTCACACACGAAACCACCGACACGCAGTGGTATCAAGAGGCGACCGACTGAGACTTTCCGGTTGCCAGAAGAGTATTTATACGTCGAACAGGCTGCCACACATGCTCCACGCGGATGATGTATACACGTATCGATCAAGAATCATGCACATTGAAAATTGTCCGAAGCCCTACGGTTCCCGCGGTAAAACTTCCTTGTGAAATTTCCGCTGACGCGGGGGTGTCCTGATGCATAGGGATTGCCATGGTTCCCGCGGTACACGTCAACGGTCTCGTTCAGTTCCATGAATCGCAAAACAGACGGAATAAGTAACCGTTTCTGCTGGTTCAAGTAAGCATCACGTAAGTGACACAAAGTGGTTTGATTTTCCAATGGTGTTTAAACTTTTACACACAATTTATTCTCGCTATCCGTCGACTTTCGTGGTCGAGATCGACCAACATACTGATAAGAAGCGGAGGAATGTGTTTATATCAAGCTCGAACTTCGACTTCTCGTCTATTGATACGACACACGAACATTCTCACTTACTTGTATGTGAAATTACGATTCGTACGAAGCATCGATAACGATCCGTTGAAATGATGCTGATCGCAGAAACGGAACTTCTGTTTCTCTGAAGTCTACCCGAATTTCTCCGTGATTATTTTCCAGATTTTCGGATGCTTCTACCTGAACGTACCTATATCGCTTCCTTCCTGTTTGATCGGAATTATAACTGACTCATACCATACCGCCGTGATTCATTGGGAAAATCGGGTTCAATGAATTCGCTTACAATTATTGATACACTTATTTTAATAGAAATATCGTTGATTCATGGTCCACGATTAATAAAAGATATTTAAATCACGAGTCTGTGACTCCAGAGCAAGTTACTATTCCTCGAAGGATGAACGACTATGTTGAAATGAGTGTTTGTATGTAGTAAAAGGGACAAGAGCAAAGACACCGACGAAGTATACTTTTCAGTCGTTAAATTATACTCGAGGTGCAACGTCACCGACTGTATAAACAGTTCGGTTACTTTCATCGTTTCTATTTGACGTTTCGAACGCTTTTGCACGGAACTTGATTCTGTGTAGAATTACAATATGCACTGGCGAGAGATTTCTAAAGACAAAATTCTGTTCAATTCTCGTTCTTATAGAAGGCTATAAACGTACGAATAGGTGCGCATACGCCTCCAATTTTATAGTTGTCGATCGATTTCAGTTCGATTTGCTTTTTATCGCAAAAGTTTCTTGAATGTTTGTGTGATCTATTTGCAGAACTTTATTCGTGTCAAGAAAACAGAACGAAGATTAAAATCAAGAAAAGCAATTTCTTCATAGTTATCCGGATAACTCCAGTTCACGGTATTTACATCTAACCAAAACCTCCTTCATCTTTCAATCTATCTTCCTGTCGTGTGATTATTATAGAGTATAGAGGAATATAGGTCACGTAGTCGATCTGGTAGGTAGCCGAATAGATATGATCAAGTGCATTCTACTCGTACACGTGGGAGCTGAACGAGTGTGCCGACTCCTATAATTATTAATAAACACGCATCTGGATCATCTGCTTCGTTAACAGAAGGGTGTCTTCTACGATACCGTGAAACAGAATCGGGATGATTCCGTGAACGTAAAAGTATCGATTAAAATCAGGAATGATAAAGAATTTATAGTATCATAAAAATTTACCCGGGCGGGGTACATTCATCCTCGATTGCCGATTCACGTGAATCATCGGCTGACCAGTTCTGTCTCAAGATCGTTTGCGGTCTCCCGTGCGTGACCAGAAGTTCATTCGTCATCTCATTTTGGCGGTCCGCCACCTGATTGTGAGAACAGTTCTGTCTAATAATTTTCTTGGACAGCTTAGAGAAACAGAAAAGTCTGTGTAACTCTGTGCCTCACATCCGAAGAAGCTTCTGTCGAACCGATAAGAATTCTTATATAACGAAAGCATAATGATAAGAAATTGATAAGATCCTTTCATCCGTATGCACCGAGAACGTTTAATTCTTCTCCTTCTTCTGTGCCATATTCTGTTTCTCTCTCAGCAAGTCGAGTGTTCCTGTTCCTCCCTGAAATTTGTACATATCATGATTGGCTTTCGAAAAGTATCAAAAGGTAAGCTTAAACCCTTCTTCGGGGATTCCCAGCGTAATGTTACGACACCTTTAATCGGTGTTACAAACGGTGCGTGATTAATATGTAGTAGAACGGGGATATCCCTCGCGGCAAAATCATTGACCATACCAACATATTTGCAATTCCGATTTCGTTCAGATCGAATGATATTATGCTGTCGTGTGTATTCCCATAAATCGCTGATTCATCGCTCCATTATAAATAGAAATGCTATAAATACTAGTTAATTCATTTAAACGCCCAACGATTACTCCTTTAAACACCAGGATGAATCGATTAACACCTATACATATGTTTAGGAATTAGGTGTGTTTCATACGTGGCGAAAGTCACGCAACCGGTAGATCGCCAACCCTAGCCACCGTCTACTACATAATAGATTACAGTGGAATTTACTTTGGTCTAATAGAACTTTTTATGTGACTATTTCAGGCAGAAATCTATCGAATCCTTGGCTGTGATTTTATTACAAGAGGATAATGGACATTCATGAAATCGAACACAGGCAACGATGATGCCCAAGATGAGGAGAATTCCAAGGTCGCCGGCCAGTGTCGTGTACACCCACCTTCGAAATTCCACACACGGTTCATAGATTCGCGACATCGCATACCGCTGAGTCAGTTCCACGAATTCTCCGTTAACGGATATTCGTGTAACCCCGGGGACCGTGATTTGAGAAACCGATGATGACTACTCTCACCTGTCCCACTGCGTATACATATGTATCCTTAGTACATAAAATATGTATACGTGATGCGTGTGACTCACGGAATTGCGTCGTGAATGAACCCTGTCGCAAGCAGACACTTGGCAGACGACCGCGTCGCGGTGACTCACTGCAACCTGTCGCATCATACATACACATATAGGTAACGCTGCTGATCGTGGGATAGTGCACTCGATGCCTCGCTGTTGGATCGAGAGTACAGTGTCTCGCCATGAATCGTGTTCTCAACGGATCTGATCGGTAACAATAACATTCATTTAAAGGTCATCGAACTGTAATTTCCTTACTTCCTCAGGAGTCCATTAAGTATAAATAATCGATCTAGATGATCTTATTATTTTTGGAATATTACGATACAACAGAACAGTCGGTTCGATCGGAGGTAGGATCAGTGACACTGCTACCAGAAAATTACCTGGACGGTAGTTCGATGTGTACCCATATCGGTACACGCACACAGAGAAAGAGTGGTTCGGGATGCAGCGACCGTTGCATCAAAAACGAAAATCATGCGGGGACTGATCATTTGACTGATGACTGGTCGAAATTTGGCGTGGACGGAGTATAAAAAAGAAAAAGAAAAAAAACGAAGGGAAGCTTGCCAGGCGAAAGGAGAAACCGAGAGAAAGATGGGTAGACCGAGAAGGAAAGGATGACTAGTCACGCGACGTAACGCGGTCCCGACTCGAACGGGAGGCAGGACCCACTAGTTGTAATTATAGTTATCTCCGCGATGTTCTCGGAACGCTTTGCTTCGACCCCTCCTTCGAGGCTTACCGGGAACCAGGAGGGAGACGGTGCGAATCGCCGGAGGACGGGACAAGACGATTCAGCGGGAGATAGTACGGAAGAGGAGAGACAAAGAGAAATCGGAGAAAGGGGGGAGGCAGAGGGCACCGGGCCGAGGATGAAAGTTACATATATATAGAGGGAGAAAGAATTCAGATCGCAGAAGAGAGTAGAGTCGGAAAGGCCCGGCCCCGTTGAACGTTGAACAATCGCGAACGATCTATCGGAGTGAACGGAACAACCGTCGACGGAAGTAGGTCCTCCCCGGTTTTGCGTGCGTCGTTAAATAGGAGAACTTCGGCGACGAAGACCAAAAACAAAACTAAAAATGCGAAGCATTATTCTGTTGGTGTTCTCCATTCATCTTGTCTTTGCCATGGTCGGCCGACATCACAGGTAATTCCGATTGGACGGGGCAAACTTTAATTGGGCAACATTAGTGACGTGATTTTGACAGATAAGTCTAACGGTCGTTTCGGGTGCTCTCAGGGATAGCGGATTTTTGAATCATGTACAATTGGTCCACGAATTTCGGTGTTCCGCGCCTCAACCAAGAGCAGTGCCAGTGGAAGAGCTTTTAACCGTCGGTCCCAGCCCCGATGAGGTTTTCTATCCAGCCTCCACTGTTCTGACACGTTGCAACGGAGCCGGATGTTGCCCCGATCCGAAACAGATTTGCGCGCCGATCGAGACCAGGAACGTGAGCCTCGTGTTCACTGTGAAGCACACGATCGACCGACAAAGGGACAGACACCACGAAGTGATACACGCGTTGGAGCACACCAAGTGCGGATGCGTTGACAAGAAACTGATCAAATTCGACTGATTCTCTATATTAGTATAATTTCGATATCATAACGTAATTTACTCGTGATTAGTTTCTTGTAAAGATTAACGTGTACCAAAAGGATGTTCGTAAACGCGCGACTAGATAACATTTATAGTTAGTAATAAGATGCTGAGCTTAAACGTAAGACACCTTGTTCCTCGTATTAACACCCTTCAGGATTATTGACTGTGATATTTTGCTAACGTAACTATTTTTATAGGTAAACTTAATAAATGAGCAATGTTTTTGGGCAACGTCGTGTTTTATTCTATGCTCCATTCAGATAATAAACAAGAGCAGACAGAAGTATTATCAGGTTTCTCGATCGGCCTACCTCTTAATCTTTTATGTCAAAGTATTGTCTCGCGGCCAGCACGTCGCGTTTTATACTTTCATTGTCCGGTGTCAATTTCAGGGCAGCTTCCAGTTCTGGAATGCCATGCTGAGGCGAGGACAATTTACAGAGAGCCGCGCCTCGTCGAGCGTGACACCTGGCTCGTGACTCTCGATTGCTTTCGCATTTCGGTTCCATTAGTTCCAGTGCCTGAGAACAAAATATACGACTGTGTATTTATTCTTTCGAATGGCAGCACGATTTTTTTGTCGAAACGAATACAAAATCTTTCGTGTAATTCTGACGTCGATGCTTCGATAATCCCTTCACCTTCGAACAATCCTCTAGACATCTGTAATAATTCTTCAATGCATATTGGGCTGCCGATCGATTCACGTAAAGTGACGCCAGTTTGTCGCTGATTTTAATACCGTAGGTGTAAGCGCTGATTGCTGCCAAGTAGTTTCCGTCTTTGAAGAATTCACTGAAATAAACATATAATTGATTCGCTAAGTTATGAGTTAACGATAAGGAATTATAGTAACTAATAATTGTATGACATATTAAACGTACTCTCCTTTGTCCTTTAACCACTGAGGATCGCGTTCTTCCGGTCGTAGGTCCGTAGAGTCGAATCCAATTTTTCGCCTAGCCTCCGCTTGTTTTTCCAGCCACTATAATTAAGATTATTTTATTGAAAGTGTTCTCTACACTATTGTACAGAACGGTCGGTATGAATATGTAGTTAAAAAGGAATACTTCTTCTTCCTCGAAATGAGAGCTTTCCCTAGCAGGAGTGGGGAACTTCCGGTCCGAGAACGTGACGTTGATGGTACCTTTCTTTCTCGGTAATGGAATCGATTTCGAAGGCGCTTCGAATATGTTGTCTTTTTTCAAGAGCTTTCCATTTATCGCAGCTATCACGGACTCCAGACCGGGTCTCGATTTTTTCTTCTTTTCGTAAAATTTACGTAATTTCTTTTCGCTCATTTCTTTAACAAGACCATGCACTATAAATTGGTGTTCAGAGTCAGACTCTGCTGAACAACTGGAATCATCCGTGGTATCGCAGAAACTTTTCTCATTGTCCGTCGTTATCTGTTCGATACTTTTATCTTTCATTTGCAGTTCGATGATCTTTTTATCGCCATCATCTTTATCCGAATTATTTAAAGGTTCTTCTATTTCCAGTGCTCTGTCTTCAAATCCTTTCTTGAGTGTAGAAGAACAGAGTATTTCGTTGTCGGTCTTTGATCGAGATGTTAACTCGTTATTGCCATCTCTGAACCATTTCAACGGTGCCCTTTCAAAAATACGTATGAGAATATCGTTATTCAAAGTATAAAAGAACTGAGAATTAATGTTTCTTGGACCATTACTTATAAGCCTGCCTATTCTCTTGCACTACACCCTGAACTTCCGAAAGAAATGGTAACTCAGCTTTCGATCTCCAATCTTCGAACTCCAGCATGGCTTCTTTCCGGTGAGCATTTCTTATTTCGTCTATTTTATTCAAAGTAACTGTATTGATGTTGATTTGTTCTTTAACAGCTTCTCTTTGTAAGTACAGACGTTTTTCTACAGAAGTAAATGATTTATAAATATGTTACAAGCTAATCTAAGTATCTAACGTTATTGCAACAACTTAATTAAGTACCCTTTTTAGTTTTTGCAAGTTCTTCAGCGTTGGCTTGTGCACGTTCCAGAGCTCGGTTTCGATATTCTCTTTTAATGTCATTGTCGATATTTTGTACTTCGAGACTTGGCCATTCTTGGCTAATTTCCAGCTTCTGTAAAGAAAGTATTGCCTCTCGATCGGCAACGGAACATTTACTTCCATTTTCGACAACATCAGTCCAAAGAAATAACTCCAATATAAAAGGCGGAAAGCTGACCTGTTGATGTATGTTAGAGTATATTGGTCGTTTATTGAATTTTATTAACATAGTTTGTCTTTAGTAAAACTACGTAGTACCTTCAAATAATTACCGATCACGAAGATGTCCACCCTTTTTGGATTACCTCTCAAAGGTACGTTTAGAATTACAAATTCTGATGTTTGCCTCCAAGTATAATCTTTAATAAATATAGCTGGCATTTTTTTTGGCAATGATTTGTACGACTGTTATCAGAATTACGTCTTAGTTTCCACGACTACCGTAACAGTGTAATGGGAGCTATTGATCAGCTTTTAATACTTCTCCGGTATGGTGTCGGATGTCGGATAATAAAATATTGTAGCGTAGCATGTTGTTTGGTTAAAAAATAGATTTGTATGTAAGATTATACTTTTGTATTCACTTTTGTATTTCAGATACATATGTATGTAATGTACATTACAATTTTTACCTCAGTATTTAATTTAGTAGGTAAAAAAACAGACTATGAACATACTGTATGAATTACTTTTAATTAAAACGTTTAAGAGTATTTGTTGACAATACTTTTCCATAGACAATATTAAAAAGCTGCCGTTCACGCAACTCCGGAATTCCGTCTTTATGCATGGAACCATAATTTCTTTTTTCTCATGAGCAATAATTAAAAATTATTATCGAAAAACGTATGAAAAACATTTAGATACTATGCAGCTCCGCAAGGAGATCCATAAGTTTTGGTTCTTGGGCTAGACTATTACTTTTGGACAAGTGTTACTTCTTTAACTCGCGATACCTAAGCCATTCGTTGAAAATCAACTACAAAAACTTATTGTAAATCAGTCGGTTTTTATCAATGTCTGCTCCTAGAAAATTGCAATACTATTTAAAAACGAATTGCAGGACGTTTTGACCCCTAAGGATCTATTCATTCGTTGAACATACATGTGTTTCGAAAGGGCTCTTTTTAGTACCCTGAGACGTAATGTTGTTTTTTCTTTTGACGATACTTTTGAGTTCAGTTCCTACATTTCGTTGTACATAACAACAGAAACAACAAGTATTAATTGCTTTTAAGTTACCGTAATAGAAGGTACTATTAAAAAATGGAGGACCTTTGATAAACGCTTAAGTTAGGAAATGAAAAACTATTTTCTAGAAAGATATTATGACACTATAGTTATGCCTCTTACACGCCTTACGACATACTCCGTTTTTTTTTTATAGATTACAAATATTAGTGATCGTTCATTATGTACTATGTACAATGTGTATCAATGCCAAATACTTTGCTCGTATAATTGTTCTGTGTGAAAGAAACTTGTTCGTGAGAAGAACGTGTACGCTAAGAACAGTATAAAGAGGAAACAAAGTACTTAACATTGTACAAAACCTTTAACATTATCATAAATAAGTGTACGTACAATAAGGTACGTTCGTCCTAGATTACATCCAAGCGAGTCCCGCAATTATTATTTTCGAATAAACATTCAGTACTTATTCTCGTTTGGTTATTAATTTTTATAATAACATACATTATTTAATACACAATGTACTCGTACAGTATCCACGCATATATAGGGACTTCACTTGAAACATTGAAGCTTCCGCAATACTTCTAATTGTGTGTTAATAAAGATAAAACTACAGAGTCGCATGGAATGTTTAAAGTGTACAAAAACGCTAAACAAGGTCATCATCACATAACTTAAAAATTATCGTCGTAATAAAATCGACGTTGTGCGGATTTCTGGTACTTCATTCGCATAACATAAATTTCGAAAGATTAAAAGAAGAACAAACATTTAGTACGAACATTAAAAACAGTGGCAACATGATCTCGGTAATACTTCATTTTGATATCGTTTTAAAAAAATACAATTAATTCACCGATGTTCTGAAACGTATAGATCGATTGAATTTGTATAGAATAAATAGTGAAGAATAGAATCATTTTGTAATTCGATTGATCTACAAATGAAATTTATAATATGTATCGTATGGACCAATTACAAATTCGTTGATAGTTTAATGACGTACATGATAACAAACAGTCACTTTTTCCCAAGAATAGTTACACTAGACTTATAATTTACTAACATTTTGTAAGGTCCATTATGAAAAATTGTTATTATACGATCAAATCGATAGTAAAAATAAATACAGAAACAATGTAGTTTAGTAACATGAAACTTATGTCACAACGAAACTTACGACAACGAACTACTTACAATTATTTAAAAAAAAAAAACACTAGACAATCGAAAGTTTATTACACATTACCTAAATGGCTTGAGTTTTATACATACATATCACGTGCATACGCCTGGCGTAATAGGCATACTTGCACAATCATACATGCTTTATTTCCTTTAAATAGAGTATAAATAATGAAAGTTTAAGATTTTCGGATAACTAAGAATCCGAATAAGAATATTTACTTAATTGTGACTGCTTAGACGCGCTAAAGAATTAAATACAAGACGGAAGAGTTGAAAAATACATACATTACGAACATCACTGGAATATCATACACAAGATTTCCATATGTCACCGACTCTTTGTGCAATATTATTGCATTTTATAAAGGGCATAGGTACATAAATGTACGCACAAACTATTTCTTTCTTGCAGCCTTTTCTGCTTTTCGTCGAATCCGTTCAATTTCTTTCCTTTCTTTGCGTTCACGATCTGCCTGTGCTCTTAGTTCTTTCAATTTCCGCTTCAAATGAGACTTCTCTTCTGCATAAATGCCAAAAGCTTTGAGGTCGCGAGACTCTAGTCGTAAAAGATTCCCACCGTTGATACCAGTTTCGAGAAAACGTGGTGCGTAACGCTCCAAGCCGATCCCGGTTAACCATTGACAAACCTATGTGCCGTGTTTCAAGTTATAAGTGTAATGAAACTATCACTTATGACAGCGTTACCCAAACTATGTGCCGCGGAAAGTGAATAAGTGTTCCGTAAAAAATTAGTTTTGTTTTTGTTTTCTCAACGCATAGATTTATTCGTCTATTTTATTTATTATCTACTACCCTACAAAATAACCTAGGTGTTCAGTTAAAATTTCAGGATTTTGTGAAGTGTTCCGTTGTAGTAAGAAAAGTTTGGGAAACGCTGATTTATGAGATGAGTATCTCTTAAGGTGGTATGAAACTCACTTGTTCCTTGGACCAATCCGTAACTGGAGCATTTTGCCAAAAGTGAGACTTCTTGTCACCTAAACCAAAGTCGCTTGGATGAGGAGGCAACCAAACTTCAGTCGTATCTAGATTTGTAACGTTGTTTATACAAGGAAGGGATTCAATTATAAGAAATGAAACATACAAAAAAAAAACAGAAAAGTGAAAGTATCAACAACATGAAGAATCGACAAACATTTCATGATTAGGCTGTATGGTACATATATTTATATTACCTGCTTTAGATGGACTAGGATCAACAGCAGGTGGGCTTACTGACCCACCAGAAGATAAACTGGAGGGTGAACTACCTGGATGATGCCAAGGTGTAGCACTGCTTCCAATTAAATTCGATGAAGGAACGGCGACTTTTTTTGCTGTACGGATAAACAATATATTGCAAAGAAACTGTATCATTTACTCCGTCAACTTAAATCATGAACTACGCTACCTCTTTGATTGGCCTCGTTCACAGCCTGTCTTATTTCTTCCACTAAATGATGAGTAACCAAAGTTGGATCATTATTGTGCGGATTGTTTAAATCACTAAAGTCTCCAGAACTCTCTCTTGAAGAAGACATGTCATTGCCACCAAGTCGTCTTTCTCTTTCTGCTAGAACCTGCTTTAACTGTTCTGCTAATGATGCTGGTGGTCCAGTCAAATCTACGAAGAATTAACACGACTTAACATCCAGAGTTTCATGCTTCATAGCTTATTTAAGAGAAATGAAAAAGAAGGTACTTTTCTGAGACTGTGGCCAGCTCTGTTCCGTCAAAGCTCGGACTTGCGAACTAATAGTACTGTGTTGCCGAATTGCTGTTGGATGCGTCGATTCCATGTGCTTACTCTTCAATGAACTAATCGAAGAACTACTGGAATAGGAACTCAAATTTGATTGTTTCGACGTCAAATCGTTTGGCGATCTACTACTAGCATCTTGAGAAAGAAGCTTTGAAGAAGAATCCTCGTCAGTATTATCACCTGATTCGTCTAAACCGTAATCCTAAACAATGATTACATTAAGAAAACAGCTATTTTTTCCCCATTATACATTATAGATCATATATACTTACGGAACTGCTATTACTAAGGCCTCCCGATCGTTTAGGAAGTTGTCGGTTTGCCAGACCTCCTCTGCTAGCAAGTTCAGCCTTACTTTTCCCCGCAGAGTTATCGAGAAGTCGGTGGGCAGGTACGGCTCTATCTAATTCCTCTTTGACTGGTATTGGTAGCGGCAGTTTTCTCTCTACCGTTGCAGTTTTGTCTCCGTCGTCAGGGCTACTAAGATCTGATGTCTCTGTGTCTGAAAGCTGGCAACTACTTGACGAAGGAGGAGGCGGTAACTGTCGGCGCGATAATTGGGGAGTAACTATCCTAGCTGTTGTACCATCATATGGCAATCTCACTGGCAATCCAAACCTTCTTTGTGTCTCTGTTAATTCCACTTCTAACGTGATTACCTAATATTATAAATAATTCATGTTTTAGTACGATTCATGTTTATGAAGTCTATTAATTTGTATCTTTTCAATCATATCCATCAACGTACCCGATCCTTTAAACTTTTCACAAGAGCATTGTATTCTGTATCTTTTTCTTGTAACAACTGTTCATAGAATTCGTCTCGGGCAGCAATATCCGCGCGTAGTTCACGTGCTGCTCTTCTTGCTCGTGCATACTTTTGTTGTAAAGCAGCATTCTGTGCTGTCGCCTGAGAAAGCATTTCCCGTACCGTTCCTAAGTCCTGTCTGGCAGCGCCTAACGCTCTTTCAGATTCATGAAGTCGTAAGCCAGATTCACGCAATTTTTTTGCGTATTCCTCGCTTCCTGCTCCACTGTTTTCCAAGTCTACAAGCTACAAAGGAAAAGTATGCAATGATACTCAACTCATTGCAACATATATGTACTACAATACATACACGAGCGAATCAAAAATACTTATAAACATACAATGAAATATATAACAGAACAGCAAAATAAAGGGTCAGGTTATGATTTCATGGACAAAAGCATGTGATATATAAACACAAATTGCTTTATGAAAAGTCTGATGTGATTACCTTAGCTTTGAGCTTTTCCACCTCTCCATCTGCTAATGCTAGTTTATACTGACTCTGCAAGCAGCGAACAACAAACACAGTGCATAAGCAAAACCAAAAACATATTCACGTCTATGAACCTATGAAGATGTGCCGATGTATACATAAAATAAGCAGTATAATGTAAGTGAAAACATATATACATCTATATACAATATCCTATAATGCATAATTTCATAGGAATTTACATTCTATACACTACTATGGAGGTAGGAAGAATATATATGTATAATACTGGATATACTTGGTGCAATAATAACGTAATCAAAAGTGCACTATAATACAAACTATAATACTACAAATTTAAAGTAACGTCGGTCTTTCTTTAATATTACAAGGGAAACTATTCCGTGATAAGTAATGAGACCACAGGATGTATTTCTCATTAGTCATTAACTCGAGAGGCCTAAAATATCTTAGGAACGAAAAAGTATCAATCAAAATCTTCAACTAAGCATATAAAACACTACGTATACCACACGATTTTTATCAATATATTTTTCCTTCTTATCGAGAAAAGTACACTACCTCTTCCAAAAGCAGTCTCAAGCTGTCAACGTCACTTTGTGTAGTAGGGGTATGCGGTGGCATCGACGAACTGATAATAGGAGATCTACTTCGACCGGAAGCAGAAAAATAATTTTCAATAGGACTATGCGGCGGTTCCCCTTCCGAACACGAGGACATAGCTGGAGAACCTGGTATTGCACCCATGCCTCCAACAGAAATGTCTTCACCAGACCGTTGACCGTCGGGCGAAGCATCCGAAAAATTAAGTTTCCTGCAGAAACAGCAAACACATTTACATTACTATGATTTAAATGTTTTCGGTGAGAAGTTTATGAATAAATAAAGGTATTTAATTTCCCTCAGTACCCCAAGAGGCCTCGTGCCATCATTAGGGTGGCCATAAATTGTCGTCATGGACATTAGCGAGCAAGGATAAACCATCATTGGGAAATTATTTTAAAAGAATCATGTTCATATTTATTGACTTATACCTAGCAGAATTAGCTTGTTGCTGTTGCTGTTCTCTTTCCTTATCCGCCTGAAGACTTTGTCGAATTAACATAGCTACTTCCGAGTTTGGATCACGTTCCCTGCCGATCACAAAACGTACAAGACCTGAAGTATTACGAAGAACACTGGCTGCGTAAGCTTGCGTAACCCCAACTAAAGATTTTCCATCCACTTCAACGATTTGATCGTTTACTTGTATTCTGCCTTCTCGCGCGGCTGCCCCCTTCTCTGTGATGGTTTTTACGAATATACCCAACTTCTCAAGTCCCGCATCGGCGCCGACTCCCATTCCAATAATACTTAAACCCAGACCCTCTGGTCCTTTCATCAGCTCTACCGGGAATACCTAATAAACGTTTTGTTGTTGTTACATACGAATTTCAAATAAAATACTATGCTACGAAGTGGGTATATATTGGATGTAAGTACCTCCATCTTTTCCACCCGCTTTTCTAGTTCATATTCTGCGCTTGCAGCAACGGGATCCACGTCCTCGTTGCGACGATCATACTCGTTTACCGAGTGCGTGGAATAAACTCTCATTGGTCCTGTGTCAAATGTAACTTTAGTCATTTTTTTAACGGGTATATTTACTGGGTAGTCTTCCTTCTCGTCGTCCGATTCCGGTATTCCAGCAACTTCCATCCAAAAGTGTCCATCTTCAAAATAATGCACCCCATTTTCTACCAGTACCTGAATGAATGTTATCATGTATATCATACATTAAAAGTTTAATTTAACAAGAGAAAATTTTTATTATCATATTTGTAGAGCTTACTACTGTTCCTGGTGTGGGAGGAATGTATTCATCTTGATGCTCAGTCTCTGTATCATCATTAGTTTCATGAGTATCGTTCAAACTACTAACTGACCCAAGAAGACCACTTTCACTTCCGGTTACAGAACCCACTTGACTCTCCGTTAACGAATCTATCGTTAAATCGCTACGTGATCTATGGGATAAACTAAAAAGTACAAAGATTTAAATTTGTTAAAAATAGATTCACATCGTCTATGTACCTGTGACCTGTGCTAGACCACTTTATGTGCGCGTAATGAAACTAATGGAAATAAGGTCATAGCGCAAGCCGCAAAATATTTTTATGAAATGAATGAAACAAAAGACCAAACGATTCACCTATAATCATTTGTGGTGCTATTAATAAGACTGGTATCAGGAGCGGACAGAACATCGGATAGCCAATCTGGTGTATTATCTTGATCCTCCCTTTCCCTCTCTTTGTCCATTTCTTTATTCTTATCAATAGAATTTCCATCACTTACAGCCTCAGCATTCACAGTAGGAGACAATAACCTTGCTATTTCTTGCGCCTCCTCATCCGACAATAAAGCTGATCCTTGTCTAATCGATTATTCATATGATTCAGTTTGTTCTTTCGTAATTAAATATCATGTCAATGAACTAAACATTTCATTGTACAATACAATAACCTACCTTATCTTTTTCTCTAGGATGCTGTATTTTGTCCCAGAATGTAACGTGTTTGTTTGAAGTCACATTGAAATGAACATGAACAGTGAAAAATATTAGAATTTAAAGCAAGGAAATAAAAATTATTAAGCTTCTTGCATGTTGCCATAAAATCATTTGCTACGCAACTAGAATTATTATATGAATAAAGTACAGTTGTATGTAAAAATAAAGGTCTATGTTGAATTAGGTGCATTTGACCTTAGTTTACATTATACGAAACATAATCTAATTTTAAAATTATGTATATTTTACGGTTATTTAGATTAGGCACTTACCGAGAACTCAGTAGATTTTCTGCTTCATCAGCAGTCATAGTATCTGGTGTTACAGGAACTGTTTGAATAAGATTACTTTTAGAAGGAGTTTCCACTGTAGTCTTAGCATCATTGTGATCAGTAACATGTTGCATGTCCACTGGAGCATATTCCAAATTTGTTATTGTTTTAGTGTCACTAGAATCACTATCTTCATGTAGACTGCTTTCAGATACAACATGTTCGTTGATTTGCTGTTTATCTGCATGTTGAGATACAAGAACCGGTGACACACTTTGAGGTATATTCGTTTGTTGGACTGAATTTGTAGAACTACTTTCTTGTAATCGTAATTTAGCTAACTGATCAGCTTTGTGTTTTTCCTGTTCCCAAGTTGTCTGAGGTTGATCTGACTCTTCTATGCTCCTATTTAAAATATTGTTTATTGTTTGGGAACTTGGTTTGGGCGATGCTACTGTACTTCCTGCTAGTGTTACATATTCCTTTTGGCTACCAAGTTTTGAAAGAAAGTTAGATGCGTTTGTGTGATGTGTAGGTTCATCTGATTCTGTTTCTTTACTAACAGGTTTCTCTAACAAGTTTTCATTACTATGGACATTCGAGATTGTTGAACTTAGACTTGTATTTAAAATGGCTTTATCTGTTTGATCTTTATTATCAACTTCAGCAAAACTTGAACGTTTCCCAGATACTTCTTCCTTATTTTTCGCTATCTTTTCCCGCATAGAAATCTTTATCTGATCGTTTTTGGCATTGGACACTGTCTTCTGGCAAACACTCTCGGAAAACGTATACCTTTCATTAGTAATATTTGATTTCGACTTATTATCTAAGACTGTATTTTGATTTACTTCTGTGATCACTGAATTAGCTCGTGCATGATCATGATTACTATCTTGAGATATCTTATTATGGCAAATTTTTGTTGAATCAGTTTTTGTTACTGCATTTTCTTCTATGTTTACTTTTGTTTGAGGTTTAACCTCATTGTTTTGTGTAGACAATTCTTGATTCTGTTGCATTTTCTTTGCATATGGCGAAGGTATTGGTATATCTTTATGTTCTAATGGTGGATATTCTTGATCTGAACTAACAACGGACGGTGGCCGCTGTCCCAGACCAGCTGCTTGAAAATCAACACGTACATGAGAACGTCGAATAACTGTGGTTGTATCTGTTTCACTAAATCTTGAATTTTTATCTGAATTATCCTTCTCAGGAATAGTTTCTGTATACGTTGCAGGCTTTTCTTGCTCTTCAGGTTCCAAATCATAACTGTTTCGACCTTGAAGAAAAATATTACAATGATATAATAATGATATAAGATGCACTTATAAGGAAATATAAATGCTTAAAATCGATCATTATAAGATACCTCGACAATCAATACAAAGTAGTCGTAGACACATGATAATTGTATCTCTGTTATGTACAGAATAATAGAGTTTAGAAAGTTAAACTAGTCGTATAATAGCACAATAAAGAAATTAAATATATTTTTTTATAAGGACTGTATAAGTAAATGATTTAGAAGAGTCTGTTGCATGAGCAATATAGACAAACTTTGGCGAAAATGTATTTGATACAACACGTAAAACAATGCACATATTTTGCACAAAATTTTTATGCTTTATCGTTACACATTGCTAACATTATCTTTATTTAAGTGACAAATTTTTAAAACCACATTACGAAATATTCGGTATTTCTGCAAAAGCACATTTCACACAATAAATGTATGTGTCGATAATAACTATTAATTTATAACAAATGTTCTTTTCTAAACACTGGTAAAAAAATTATTCGAATTCGGAAAATACTTTTCTGACGAAAATGCTGCAAAGTACCACCAGACAGAAGCAGAACAGAATACACAGAGATTTCTATAAATAATACTGTTGAAACCAGTAGGAGGAACTAAGATTAAGAAGAGGAGGAAAAGGGGAAGGAGGAGAGTTTCCTCCTGGGCTTTTACTTTTTCGCATTTTGGCAGAATGCCACGGTAAAATAACAAAATTTAAATATATTATTAAAGAATTATTTTCCGGTAATTGAGAGAAAAAAGAAAAAAAAAATAGACAGTGTAATTACCAAATAATGAATTTGCGTTAAATTTGTGTTTTTTGTTTTGCAATAAATTGAGTATCCAAACGTGTATAGAATGTATTACGTATGTTTGTATAGATGTAGATTTAAGCTATGTTACTGAGAGTGGTTCACATATTATATACTATACCCGCTTGAATTTTTTCAGACATTTCCTTCTCTGCCTTCTCTTCTTTACTATCCTTGGAAGGGGAGCTAGGGGAGCTCATACTAGAAGAAGCACTATCCGTACCTCCAGAAGGTGGTCTTAATTCCGGATCCGGAGATTTCGAAGGTTCTGTTTTCCTTTCATCCATCAGACTATCCTTTTTCTTCACGGTATTTATACAAGATCTGGCCCAGTCCGGTCTTGGATCAGGTCTTACGATTTCATTCTTAGCCTCTACATCTAACATCTCTCTAGAGTTTTTCAGGTCCGCCGCTTTTTTCAAAATTTCATCGTTTTTAGCTAACCATTCGTTCCTCCATTCAGAAGTTTTTGGCGGTGAACGTATTGAATTCGAAGGATAATTTAAATATTCAGGTGTGTCAAGCAGGTCACTATCTTTTTTTCCCTTACTTTCATAGGCAATACTAGTAATATTCTCTATCGACATACTCCGCGTCGGACTAGATATATCAGAGTTTCTTTCGTAAGAGGAAACATGCGATTTCGATTGTGAATAAATATCAATACTTGAGCTTGCAAAAGCGCTTTTGGAACTCAGATTACTTTCTGAATTACTGAATCCTTTTGAGTGTTGAGCAGAAGTATTTTTTGATATGTCTGCGCTTCGTGAATGTGCTTTGGCCGCAGTGTTCTTCTGTACAACCGCATACTCCGGTATAAACACATCTTGCGTCCTTTCGGACGCAGATGTAACAACATTCTTCGAAACGTCCCGTTGTTCTTGGTTTCTTTGGAAATGTTTATTTTGTACATTTGTATTCTTTTGTACGATCGCATATTCTGGAATAGTTGGTGAAGTATCAAAATATTTATTTATAGTAGCATACTCTGGACTACTTGGAAGATCCGAAGGAGACACAGCCGCGATACTAGCCGGTCTTTCTTTCTTTGCATTGGAAACTGAAGAGTTCCTTGTTGGCGGTGGTGGCGGAGGGGGTGATATGGCTGAAGATCTAATGGAGCAAAAGCTTGCAGATCTTGTAGCTGGATTAGCTGCGATATCTATGGGCCTTTTCGCTTCATTATCGGTATTTGTTGCATTTTGTGCGTGCCCCGCGGAAGTAGTTTCAACGTTCACTTTATTTGCACTCTGATTCAAAGAACTTTGAACCAGGGATCTATTTGGATCTGAATTGTATCTGCTTGGCCTAGTTTTCGAGAAATGACTAGTCCAATTCTTTTGCTTTTCAATTAATTCTTTTGAGTTGAGTCTCCTTTCAGGTTTTTCTGGTTTCTCTGGACGGTCATCTAGTCGATTTTCTTTGCCGTAATTTTTGTCGAATTTCCCAAACCCTGATCGTGATTTATGTTTATCTGGCACATTATCGAAACCATGATTATGTCCATTTTCGAAATGTCTTTCCGCATTCAAGGCTGGCACACTAGCACTCCAATTACTCAAATGATCTCTAGTTCCTGGTGGTGATGGAGATCGTGGACGAGGTGACCTGGCTGGAGATGTACATCCTGATCCAGAATTTGCTGAACTAGAACGTGACCTTAAACCATGTAAATTGCTGGGTTTTGCAATTCTGTCGACCCTATAGAAAATTTTAAATATAAGTAATTAGTGACTTGTATATTATTTTTGTATATACTCACGGTTTATTTGGTTTATTTTCTTCGCCAAGTTTCTCAAAAAGTGCCCTTGCATTGTTGAAACGTGCCACATGACTTTCAGTCCTAACAACTGTGACTTGTGTAGGAGATTCTTTCAAAGGTACAGCTGGTTCTTTGAAACCATCTGACAGAATACTATTGGATCTATGACTTAAATTGTCCAGTTGTGGTTTTGATTGGAAGATGTTTGCAATGGCTGATACTTTTGAGCCACCAACTCGTTTCTTTTCTTCAACTGTTGCCATGACTTTTTTTTCTCCTTTATATAACAAAGAAAACATAAACTGTTACATCAATTATATGCAGTATAAAAACCACATTATAATAAATAAAAAACAGTATCAATACCTGGACCCCACTTGTATAAAAGTAATAAGAGTTTTAAAGTCTAATATATTTCAGCCCATTGTCATTCATGTATTTTGTATATTAATCATCTTTTTGATAATCTGAAAAAATAAGATAGTAGAAACAGAAATTAATTTTCATAAATTATTTTAAATGTTATTACATTATTTTTCATTTAATATAAAATTAATGTATAGTCATTGAACATTTATATGCAGGTCATTGATCTGACAACACTTATAATACTTCTTTGATATACTAAGCTTATTCTTTGATAGCATTAGTGAAGCATTTTATTATAAGATTACATTAGGTATTGTCTGTCTGTCTGTGATTGTCTGAAATGATTTAAGTTAGACTTAAATGGAAGGCATAGTATATAGAGGTGGGGTCTTGTCTGGGTTTCACCCTCCTCCCATTGCCATAGCACACCATGCTCCTGCAATCAATACTTGAATCCTTTCTCTGTAGTTGAAGTATGAAAAGTGGAAGCATGCACATGTTATGATCTTATATTATGTGCTCACTATACATAATGTGCAAGCCTTTGTAATAGTAGGTTAAAGTTATCTGTAGCTTAAAATAAATAATGAAGCTAATGTAGCAAACTTTCACTCATTAATTTTTTTATTACACATTAAGTCTGTTATTCAAAATGTAAACAATTATGCATGAAATTTATTCCATGCATAAAACTTAAGAAGAAATATTAAGAGTATGATTTAACTAAGTAATACATTGCTAATATATAATGTATAATGTGCAAACTTCACATTTTCTTATTGAGTAACTGTTTTCAATATTTTGCATCCAGAATAAAAATATATATGCTATTATAATAAAAAATATTAATTTTCAGAAAATATATCTTTACTCTCACCATTAAAGGGAATGTATTTTATATAGAATAACCATGCAAATCTTCCATAAACATGCTGCATTAAAAGTATAACATACTGATATATTTTTCATATCTTTTTTAATAAAACACAATATTTTAAACTTGTAATACATTAATTATGTGAATATTTTTATTGATTAAATAAATAGTAATATCAGTAATATTCTAATTATATTAAATTACCAATTTTAAAATTCCTAAAACTTTCCAATTATCTTCAAAATGTGTATATAATAAGAAAAAAATAAAAATTCTATTTCACCATTGTTCTAGCAAACAAATATATAATGTTTAAAGCTGAGTTTCTTTTTCATGCTCTCTGATAAAAATCACTTCCGCTGAAAAAAAATGTCCCCATACTGTCGCGAGTTCCATTTACGATATTTACTATGACAATACGTTTATCTTAGGTCTGAAGATAAACAGTAATAGATAAATGAAATTACAGACGTTATTTACGAAAAAACGTGCAATCAAGATAAAGGTAAACACCATGCATTGCATTGAAATTAAAATAAAAATACATAATACTAGAATACGCTAATTTTATTCGCTACGATTTATAATGTTTACAAAAATTCAAGTAAACGTACGTTGTGTTTCGCCATTGTAAGGTGCTGACCAGCGAATTTGAACCTCGTAGAATATTCGCAATACTTAGTTTCGAAGGACCTCGCTTTCAATACGTAATTTCATGATCAACGTTCAATCCACAGCGATAATTACGGACACGATCAAACGAAATTACTTACTTTTGAACGAAATACGTCAAATTGTTTATAGGATTCATAAACTAACCAGAGGTGTCACCATGTGCACGAAACCATTTTCCTTTTATGAGATGTATTTTCAATACATTCGTATCTTCCCTCTTGAGGCAACTCAATGTTTTCCTTCCATTAAAGAACACAACCGATAAAAAGATACTTCCTTTAAAAAATTTCGGATAAATATACGATAAGATTCTCGCACTGTTCTCTGTCAAGATCACTTATATTCGTGACAGACGCTAGTTACCGCGAATTTTTTTCTACACACTCCTCTAAAATAGTACTTGCTAGGCTAATCTCGCACGAATGAACCGGTATCGCTTTTTAATTCTAGTTTCTAAACGACCGCTACTTATTTCCGACTTAATTACGAGACGATTTTACATCGCGAAACACTTTCACAACCGGCTGTGATCTGCCCGTGTCAACAACCCGTGAAAAATGGTCCAAGATGGTTGTCACCCTTTTTAAAGATGGCGACCCTTGTACGCCGCTAGGGACTTTATTCCCAACAAAATCTGAGTGGAAAAAAAAGACTTAATTTTCATGGTATTCATGATTATTAATTCATATTTTAATATGCTGTACACAAAAATACATACTGCTTTTCTACTTCGATAATACGAAAATTACTAATTGAAATATGAGATCTTTCTTGCACTTCCTGGCTTCTTTGCGATGTTCTATAAATGTCCTTTGTAATTTTTCTGTGGTCTCAGATTATTTTTAAAAATCTCTTGAATCGTTATTTTGCATTGACAATTATTGAATGTGCCCTTTCTAATTAATATTTCATTTTCCATACTTGGCACAGACGAGATATAGAATAGACCTATAATCCAATGCTTTTTTCTGTTCTACGTTCGGAGGGCTATGTAACCCTCTTATCATTTCGATGTCAATACCCGACGTTACCGATACAGCATGAATTCTGAGTATTATTAGCACAAATGGAGCATTATATATTCCATTCATAATACGTGTATCCAATATGATTTGGTGAGAATAAAAATATCCGATGGTTCGGTTTAAAGGATGAATATAATACTGATGAAATGTGACACGCGAAAGTATATATTTTTTCACTTATCTATAAGATAACTTATTCTAAACGCATCATTAATGGACATTTTAGTAATGTTACTTTTTCCACGTTCCCTTTTTATTAGTTTTTATATTTTTTTTATCTGATAACTTGATATAAGAATCTTAATGTACATATGCACAATCAATTACCTTTTGGCAATTGGCTAGGGAGCAGAGATGGGCAGAACTTTTTTCAAATAATACACAGTGAAAAGCAGCAGTATCTAAGGATGTCGTCCTGAACTTTAAACAGTTAATGAAATTAAGTAATTGTTCGACAAATGTTGATTCATTCATAAAGAAGTACTATTTTATTATAAAAATTGAAATTTCCACGTTTAAACAATTAAAAATGACGAAATACTTTTTTTATCTTTTAATCGTTGTTCGAAACTTTTTATCTAGATAATGAGCTTGCCCATCTCTGCTAGAGAGTAATTAAATAATGAACTTCGACCCAACTAGAGCTCAGTTAGTCAAGCTTTCGTCATAAAAAATCGTTTTTATTTATTAATTAACTGGTAATATCTGTCATATTGTATTTCATAAACTTAGGCACCATTGTCAAATTGACAGGATATATTTATCATAGATGGCGTTAGGGAACCATTGGAGGATTGAAAACTTCGAGAAGACGAGAGCAAAATTAATACTTTCGATCTATTACGAAGTGGAATATCACATTTTCGGGGATAGTGTGTGCTTCTTTATTTCCCGTTTATGGTACTCATTCCCTTCTGAAATAATCTCGGATGCGTATATGAAAAATGTATTGAAATATAATTTGGTGGTAAACATTCTATTTCGTAGAAGTAACAAATGCCGCGAGGAGGGCAGGGACCAATCCGCGCATTTCACACACCGATCCGCCAATCATAGCCAGTCATGGGAAGCCTAACGGTCATTCGTCTCAGTGGTCCCAGGGAAGCTGAACTGATCAGACGTGAAGTGATCTCGCTCGTGGCGAAGTAAGTATTATTACTTTTCATGTTAAATTATTTATGTTATTAATATCCACATTAGCACTCTATCGTTACTTTCGTTTAGTATCTATTCAATTCAGCGTAAATAATCGTAAATTAACTCGGTATTGCTGGATAAAGTGAACCGGCTTCACGATTTCTGTTCTCCCCCCGATACCACTTAGTATTTACGCAGTTTTTGATCAATTTGCAATCTTTGGCAACATTCCTCGAGTCAATAATTGTTTCCTTTTTATTCAATCATTGTGAATTTAGTATAACTACTTCGTATTAATGTGTATTTTCTGTTTCAGAATGCCGGCTAGAAGGAACGCGTCGCCGATGAGATGACTGTGGACTCCCATTAGAAGCAATTCGGCGGGAAACTGGTGACTTTTGGTAACGTATTAGAACAAAATAGGTGAAACATATTTCTATTTTATTGCATTTTCGTTGTTTTTACATTAAACATAATCGTGACTTCATAATTAGTTCTGTTAAAATCAAATAAGAAGACTTTGGAGAATTATTGCACATTCAAACGCGTAATTGAAGCATTCAACATGGCTTCCTTGTTAGAAACCGTTAGAAACCGTTAGAAAATTTTAAACGAGATGCTTCCAGAATTTTCAGTTAGAAATACTCGTACCGTACTGCATCTCGGTCGCGAAATTATTTCAATTTTAATAACTTCACCGGTTTATCTTTATGATGTTATCGTATTTGCATTTATATACAGTTTCGGATGTAAGTGTAATTATATCGAAGCTGCGTAATTTATCATGCTCATCGAAGCTTGACTAAATTACGAAATTTTGATATTTGCAATAATTTCCGAATATTTATAAAATTCGGTACGCGATTTAGACAAAAAGTACGAGTAAACGTATTCTTAAATTCTAATAACGAATGTCTTCAATACAATATACTAATAACAAATATATATGAGTAATGAATACAGAGAGATGAGAATTACTTTGAAATATTTTGCGTAGTTAAATTCACATTTGCATTTTAACGCATATTTATCATTGAATGACAATTTTTTCAACGTAAACACTTGGTCGATATAAAAATAAAAAGGATAAGCCGGTGCACGTGCGCCGTATTGTGTTTCTTTCCCCTCCTTTTTTTTTTCAGAGTTTGGTGGCCGCGCGCAAGGCGGTCGAGTCGAGTCAGTGTTTA